TTAGACCCAAACTGCATAAATTTGACTACATTCATAACCCCAGTAGGGCGGTTTTGTTTTAATAGATTGCCGTTTGGGGTCACTTCGGCCCCTGAGATTTTCCAAAGGGAAATGAGCAAACTCCTAATTGGACACAAAGGCACGGTAGTTGTCATGGATGACATACTAGTCTGGGGTAAAGATCAAAATGAGCATGACGAGAATCTTGGGGCTGTTTTGAAAACTATCAGAGAGTCAGGTCTGAAATTAAATCGTGATAAATGTCACTTCAACAAACCTGAGCTACGGTATTTTGGGCACACCATCAGTCAGAACGGTATCAAGCCGGACGCAACCATGGTAACAGCGATTACTGAGATGCCTAGTCCCACTAATGTGACTGAGCTAAGGCAAATTTTAGGAATGATCAATTATTTAGGCAAATTTGTGCCAGGGCTTTCAACAGTGCTGCAACCAGTTACAGCTCTGCTGAAGAAAGATGCAGTCTGGATTTGGTCCGAGGTCCAGGAGCAGGCTCTGAGTAAGGTAAAATCCATGTTGGCCACAGCTCCTACTCTGGCATATTATGACCCTGAAAAACCCACAATGGTTAGTGCTGATGCGAGCAGTTTTGGGTTGGGAGCTGCTCTGCTTCAAGTTCATGGTAATGTGACGCGAGCAGTCGCATTCTGCTCGAGATCTTTGACTGAAGCAGAGCGCAGGTACTCACAAATTGAAAAGGAGTGCTTGGCGGGAGTGTGGGCCTGCGAGCGTTTTGCTCGTTACCTTCAAGGATTGGAAGAATTTTGCCCGCAGACAGATCATAAACCACTAGTTCCACTAATAAATTCGTATGATATTGATCGTGCTCCGTTAATATGTCAGCGTTTGCTAATGCGATTAATGCGCTTCAATGCAAAGGCAGTCCATGTTCCAGGTAAATGTTTGGTGGTGGCGGACACGCTTTCTCAGAAACCTTTGAGTGGGCACTTCCACTCAGAGATGGAAGATGAGGTGAAGGCATATGTTGAAGCAGTTGTTGCATCTAAAGAGGTGTCACAATCCAAGCTCGATTCCATTAGGAAGGCTACAGAGTTAGATGCAGATCTCCAGGCAGTGATAGGTTTTCTCAGCATGGGTTGGCCAAAGCACATACCCTTCCCCTTGAGTCATTATCATACAGCCAGGGCTTCATTGTCTTTTGTCAATGGGTTAGTCTTGTATGAGGACAGAATTGTCGTTCCTGTGTTGATGAGGGAGGAAGTGTTAAGCCGAATTCATGAAGGACATCAGGGGCTCGCAAAGTGTCGCCAGAGGGCAAAGATGTCAGTTTGGTGGCCAGGACTTGGCAATGACATCAACAGGATTGTTTCAGGGTGCACATTTTGTAGGACTCATAAACCTACACAAAGAAAAGAACCCCTGATCACTACACCCCTGCCTACTGGTCCCTGGTGTAAGATTGCTGCAGATTTATGCGAGTTGAATGGGAAAACTTACTTAGTAGTTGTAGACTACCACTCACGTGACATTGAAATAGCTCACCTGCAAACACTATCCAGCTTTAATGTTATCAGCAGACTGAAGTGCATGTTTGTGAGATGGGGTATTCCCAGGGAGCTTGTATCTGACAATGGCCCACAGTTTGCCTCAGCTGAATTTAGACAGTTTTGTACAGACTATGATTTCCATCATACAACTTCAAGTCCTCATTTTCCCCAAGCCAACGGGGCTGCAGAGAGAGCAGTTCAAACTGCAAAACGGATTCTCTGCCAACCTGATCCTCACCTGGCATTGATGTGTTACCGTGCGACTCCGGTCGTTGCAACTGGACTTAGCCCTGCACAATTAATGACTGGACGGCAGATTAGAACCAAACTGCCAATGCTTGAGGAAAAATATCAACCTCAACCCAATGATCTTAAAGCAGTGGAGTAGAAAGATAAAGCTGCAAAGGAGTCTTACAAGTTCTATTATGACCGGAGACACTCTGCTCGCACACTGCCCGAGTTACATCCTGGAGAGAAGGTTCTTCTTAAGCTGGACAGCGAAAAGCACTGGAAAACACCAGCGATGGTGCTAAACAAAACATCAGAACCAAGATCGTACTTGGTGCAAACTCAAAAAGGAGCTGTCCTGCGTAGAAACAGGAAGCATTTGCAAGCAATGCCATCGCAACCAGATGCTACAATCCAAGCAGAATTGCAGGAAGAAAAAGAACCAGCTCTGTCTGGGACTGAACATTCAAATACTCACACAGTTGACCCAGCAACACCTTTACTGGACACTAAACCACCAGTTACGACTTCCAGTGGAAGGGTGGTGAAAACGCCCAAACGTTACTTAGACTACTTGGACTGTTTCAGGTTATAGAAAGGAATTAAGATTTGAGTTAATGAAAAAAAAAAAAAAAAAAAAAAAACAATATCATTGCTTGATGTTGCACTTTAATTTGGGTATGCTGTTAAACATAAACCAATGTTTAGGGTTTGTGTTAAAAGTGGAAAACATGATCTTCTTTTCTAAAGAGGGAAGATGTGGGAAACCAGTTTATTATGTTAACCAATCATATTGTACCTGTTTGGTGTAACCCCACCCCGTGGGGGTCAAAGGGGTTAACCCGGAAAGTGAATGACAGAGTTTATAGGAAGTGCGTGGTACATGCGTGTCTGTTTAATAAAAAGTAATCTGTGAAACGAATGAAGAGATTACTCTCATGACACAATACAGTTTCAGTTAGTTCTCGTTTTTATTTTTATTCCAGTTAACGACAATTATTTAACATTTTAGTTTTCGTTTTTTCGTTAGTTTTCATTAACTATAATAACCTTGGTATGTGGTGTGGCTTTGCTTCACTTAATTTTTAAACGTGTCCATATGTCTGAAATATCCTGAAGCAGCAATACTGTTCTGTCTTGTCGCATGAGATTCTCGCTTTTTTAAAGAAAAATAAATATATATATATCATCGATGCACATCAGAAACTCGCCAGTAACTTTTTTAATGTATGTACCTGTAAGAAAAACATTGGAAATAATTGGAAATCTGGCGTAATAATCAAACCCTTGGGAACAAGTGTTGTCGGAACCAAAGTTCACAGAATGTTTTCTGGACTCTTCTCAATCGGTGAATTTCTACATTCTGATTGCTTGCTGCCGAACCGCGTCATTGCTCATTACCATAAAGTTGACTTGATTTCAACGCTCCAACCCTCACAGTAATGCAAAAACAGTAATTACACAGCGTATAATTCATATTATTTATCAAACTGCCCATTGATGGTATAATATTAATGTTGTAGCGAAATTAACTCAGTTTATGAATATTAATAATCAACAATAACGGGTTTTTATAAAATATTTATATTCCGCCTCACCCTTCTGTCAATTTGGTTATATATATATATATATATATTCATGATTCTGCCCCCTCGTCCAAGCGGACTCTCAGATTATGAATATTTATTATCAATAATAGCAAATTATTATTGATCAATCATATTCTGAATTAACGTATTGTTAATATAACCAGACCTCGCCCGCTTGCTCAAGCGGACCCTGTAATGATCTATTTATTTAGAAAGGGAATTATTACTACTCCTTGTAGATCAATCATTTATAAGTTTTGATTAACTTAATACAGCTTGTAGCAAGGAATCAATCGTTTCAGTGACTTTTTCTGTGAGACAAACAATACAATCCAACGTGATTATAAGAATATTTATTGACTAGTCTGACATATAACAAACAAACGCACAAACATAGAACAAACGTATACTGAAGATATATAGGCTATATATGGATCTATAGAACATATAAAAAACAAAAAGAAACAGAAAAGCGAGGAATTAGAGAGTTTAGGTAAAAGAATGGCAAATCTACCTCAGTTCCACACAACTATTCAGGACCACCAAGATTACAAAAAACACATTTTTGATGAGGGGCACAGGCTTAACGCATAACCAAATACCTGGAGTTTTAGGATTTTTCTGTCTCTCTCTTTTTGTGAGTTTCTTCCGATGCACTCGGGTACGGAGTCCTTTGATGTCCTTTCTTGATGCGTGGAGTTTGAAATGCAGGTCGGAGGATACACGATCGCAACTTTAAACTGAGTTTTACTTTGCTGAAAAAATAAGAAAACGTGGGCTCGGACGAGCCATGCAGTTACAGAAATGCGGTTTGCCCCCTCAAATGGGGGGCGCACCTTTTGAAAAGCTTCTTTTGGATCTTCTACGCAGAGTTGCGCGCGCAGCTGGGTTTTAAACTGTGGTGGCATGTCAACTACTGACTGACCAATGGTCTCCTGGCAAAGTTTGAGCGGGAGATTATCTTTGTCTCTGGACCGCTAATATGCAAAATAAGGATCCGCGCGAAAGCATGCGAATAGACATTAACTCAGAGCATAAATCATTTAAGCTGTATAGATTATGATCACGCGCTACGCATCATGTGTTGTAAAATGGCAGGAGAAACCTTACGGTATTAAACACGACAGTTTTAAGGAATACATCAACATGATTCACACATTCTTAGCTGGTATAGTGTCTTAAAAAGGGCACGAGAGAGAGATTCACGTGATAGAAAAGTCTGAAATGAAATACTAAGTTTACAAACACATAACATTTACTTTTGGGCTGATTCAGGATTTCTGAGTCCATTTCAGCGTCGGGAGCCTTGTGTGTGTGTGTGTCCCTGTGTGTCTGTGTGTCTCGGGAGGAAGGGGGGACAGAAATGTCTTTTGAAGTTTGGGCAACCATCTCTGGCTTACCTCTAGATAAGTGAGGTGTCACACAGGCACAGGCTTTGTGGCACCAAGAGTCATAAACCCACGCAGAGGAGACTTAGACCCCTTTATAAAATCAATACGTAATTTTATCTACGGACTGCATGTTACATTGTTTACCCTTACCCCAACCTCCCAGTAATGCAAAAACTGTAATTATTGTTGTACAGTGTCACAAAAATGACGCTATATAAATGTGGGGATCCACAGCTGTACCCCTTACTGTGCTCTTAACTCACTCTTTGAGTTGACTCTCTTTGCAGGAGACGAGCGGGAAAAGTTGACGTCCATGCTGACCTTTGACTCGGTGATGGGAATCTCCTCCAGCGTAAACTGCTCAGGCGCACTCTGGAGTACAGAGAAGATGTATTCAGCAAAAAAACATGTTAAGCATATTTTCACCAAATACACAAACATGTACATACTTTAGTATACAGGCTGTACTAATGAGCCCACAGTGTGCCAAGAAAATATCCCCCACACCATTTCACCAACACCAGCAGCCTCAACTGCTGATACAAAGCAGGATGGATCAATGTTTTATTGATGTTGATGCTAAATTCTGACCCGGACCATACCTGTCAACCCTCCCGTTCTTTCCAGGATTCTCCCGTATTTTACTGTTCTATCCTGCTATCTTCCCGTAAAGGTATTTCCCCGTATTTTTCCCGTATTTTCAGTCTTTCTCTGAACAGCGAGCCTCCCTGTACGCAACCCATACAGCTGAACCACCAGGGGTCGCCCCTTGCTCTAAAACGTGTGTCTTCTGTGCTTTCGATAAATATTAAAAATGGCGCCATTTCCTTTTGATTACAGGTGCCATGATGTCAGCTGACGTGCTCCATAATGATAAACTGATGCTGTTTCCCAAACAGATTCTGTACACGCGATTTGAATCGGAGAGAAAGTTTTGCTTTTGGGTGCGTGTTTAAACAGACATACACACATAATTAATAATAATAACATATAAAGATGTCGATCTTGGTGTTTTTTTCCCCAAACACAACTAGTTTTGTCTTAAATGAGCATAAACAGTTAGGAAAGCAGTCGAATGTTTTCATTATATTGTTAGATGTGTGCATTTTTGAAGTGACACCTCTTATTTAATGTAATGAAAAAATCTTAATAAGTGAGAGGTTCATTCGTTGCTCTTTAATCAGAATGTGTGTCATACAGTGGAGAAACGACTAATGAGATTGATTGATAGCTTGATTCTATTTCATTATAATAGCTATTCATTTTAATAAGCTGAACTGTTTGCTAATGTATTTGATGCTAATGTATATTTTTATTTTTATTTTGTTAAAAATAAATTTAAAACATATTACTGACCATTTAACTGTTTATTTACAATGAAACAGCTCCAAATGAACATATTTAGCAATTTGTGGATTTTTTAACGGGGTGGGGGGGGTTGGGGGGGGGTGTGTCCCTTATTGTGGTGGGCATATCCCTTATTTTTAGAGCCCAATGTTGACAGGTATGACCCGACCATCCGAATGTGGCAGCAGAAATGGAGACTTATCAGACCAGGCAACGTTTCTCTAATCTTCTATTGTCCAGTTTTGGTGATCCTGTGTGAATTGTAGCCTCAGTTTCCTGTTCTTAGCTGACAGGAGTGGCACCCGGTGTGGTCTTCTGCTGCTGTAGAACATCCGCCTCAAGGTTGGACGTGTTGTGCATTCAGAGTTGCTCTTCTGCAGACCTCGGTTTAACAAGTGCTTATTTGAGTTACTGTTGCCTTTCTATCAGCTGGAACCAGTCTGGCCATTCTCCTCTGACCTCTGGCATCAACAAGGCATTTGAGCCCACAGAACTGCCGCTCGCTGGATATTTCCTCTTGTTCGGACCATTCTCTGTAAACCCCAGAGATGTTTGTGCGTGAAAATCCCAGTAGATCAGCAGTTTCTGAAATACTCAGAGCAGCCCGTCTGGCACCACCAACCATGCCACGTTCAAAGCCATTTAAATCCCCTTTCTTCTCCACTCTGATGCTCGCTTTGAACTGCAGCAGATCGTCTTGACCATGTCTACAGGCCTAAATACATTGAGTTGCTGCCATGTGATTATAAATTTACCCTAACAATCAGCTGGACAGGTGTACCTAATAAAGTGGCCGGTGAGTGTATAATGAAAAAAACATGTTTGATGTTTATGGAGTGTTATAAACTTCAAATGTGAAGGTCATGTGACGTGTTTTGTTTTTGTTGTCTTCCGAATTCCTGAAAATCTGTTTTAAGATGATGATGATGTGTATATGTGTGTGTGTGTGTGTGTGTGTGTGTGTGTGGTACCTGCAGGAAGCAGCAGATCTGTTTGGTGAGCTCCAGCTGACTGTCCTCTCCCTGGTGCAGAGCTCTCCTGATGGCCACGCTCAGCCACTCGCGGACACTCTGAGCGTTTCCCTGATTTCCAACCGCACAGAGTTACAGCTGATCCGGCCATCTATACACACACACAGGAGAGTCAGCAGACAGATTATGAGAAATGACTTCATCTTTCATTCATTCACTCATTTTTCATTCGGCTTAGGCCCCATTTACACTAATGCGTTTAGTTTAAAAACGGTGTTTTAGATCAAATACAATGTGTCCACACTAGCGTTTCACCTAGCATTTCTGAACATATCTCCGTCCACACAATGCCACCAAAAACCTATATCACGTGACCATTCGCGCACTCTCTGCTCCGTTTTCGGCACTCGAAAGCTCCGGCATCGTGTGGACGGATGGCGTAACCGTAGCAAAACTTATGCGTTTTCAAACTAAAACGCATTAGTGTAAACGGGGCCTTAGTCTCTTTATTCATCAGGGGTCACCACAGCAGAATGAACCAGCAACTATTCCAGCATATGTTTTACGCAGTGGATGCCCTTCCAGCCACAACCCAGTACTGTGAAGCACCCATCACATGCACACTCATACACTACAGCCAATTTAGTTAATCGATTCCCCTATAGCGCATGAGTTTGGACTGTGAGGGAAACCGGAGCACACAGAGGAAACCCACGCCAACACGGGGAGAACATGCAATGCAACTATTATAATAAATTTATATAATAATTTTATTTTATTCATTCATTTTCTTGTCAGCTTAGTCCCTTTATTAATCTGGGGTAGCCACAGCGGAATGAACCGCCAACTTATCCAGCACGTTTTTACACAGCGAATGCCCTTCCAGCCACAACCCATCTCTGGGAAAAATCCACAAACACTCATTCACACACACTTATACACTATGGACAATTTAGCCAACCCAATTAACCTGTACCGCATGTCTTTGGACTGTAGGGGAAACCGGAGCACCTGGAGGAAACCCATGCGAACGCAGGGAGAACAAGCAAACTCCACACAGACACGCCAACTGAATATATAAATACAGTACAAAAAGTCCTTACTGTTAATGCTGCATACAGTTGAAGTCAGAATTATTACCCCCCTGAATTATTAGCCTCCCTGTTTATTTTTCCCCTAATTTCTGTTTAACGGAGAAAAATATCTCAACACATTTATGAACATACTAGTTTCAATAAATAATTTCGAATAACTGATTTATTTTATCTTTGCTGTGATGACAGTAAATAATACTTGAATAGCTATTTATCAAGACACTAGTATTCAGCTTAAAGTGACATAGTTAAAGGCTTAACTAGGTTAACTAGGTTAACTAGGCAGCTTAGGGTAAATAGTCAAGTTATTGTATAACAATGATTTGTTCTGTAGACTATCAAAAAATAGCTTAAAGGGGATAATAATATTGACCTTAAAATGGGTTTAAGAAAATTAAAAACTGCTTTTATTCTAGCCTAAATAAAACAAATAAGCCTTTCTCCAGAATAAAATATATTATCAGACATACTTTGAAAATTTCCTTGCTCTGTTCAACATCATTTGTGAAATATTTAAAAAATATTTTCTGACTTTAACTGTGAGTAATGTTAAGAAATAGGATTTAACAAATTAGAATTATGCATTAGAATTATACATTGTACATTAAAAGTAACCTCAAAAACATTCTAATCCATGTCAAGTGAACAAACTAATGTGAACTAATGGGAGCTTATTGTAGAGTGCTTAAAAACACAAATGCTTCAACAACTTGTTGTATTCAAGGAAACTAACGACAAATATTTAAATAATGCTTCAATTTCAAATAAAAGAAAACTTTTTCCCTCAAACATGACATTTAGCATCTTAATAAACACTAATATATAGTGTAAAACAAAAGAATTGTTCTTTGCTATTTAATGATAGTTAATGCATTAACTAATGGGACCTTATAGTGAAGAGCTAAAATATGCTTAAACACTTTTAAAAAAGCTTAATTTCCAAATATGTGTATTTACATCATTTTTGCTCATTAGTAAATATTAATAAATTCTCAAAAAATATTTTAAAATCTTGTCAAGTTATTCTTATAAATCTTCTAACATTGCTGTTATGCATGTAAAATAGTGCTCTTCAACATATTGGTATGACATCACCTGGCAGAGGCGGAGTCAGCAGCTGATTGGACAGGAGCTGCAGATATTCAAGTGTGATGTCACGCACTGCAGGGATGTGGAAGAGGTGTGTGAATGTGTGAGGACTCTTGGGGGCAAAGATGTTGAGGAGGGCCATGCGGCAGTACAGACGCACCAGAGCACTTTCACAGCGCAGCAGCTCCCTGAAACATACACACACACACACACACACACACACACTAAGTGAAGTTGCATAAACTAATTTCGAGAGGAGCATGTGATATGATTGATCGCGGCTGGTCTCTCTGTAATCATTGGTAAGCCAATCAGATTATTCCGAACTCACTTTAAATACTAAATACACTTGTCCTATTATGCAGTTTCCACAATTTTCATTGCACACTCATTGATTTTCCTGACTGTTTTGCTGTCATTTATTGCACATCTAGAATCTTTGCTTGCGGGTTGAAATGTTTTGCTTGTGAGTTTGAAAGTTTTGAACCCATGTACACTGAGGTAAATTTTGTGTCTTTATTATTCAAACAAACATGAAGTTTTTGACCATAATTAGGTACAATGCAATTAAAAAATGAAAGATTTTAAATAATAAAAAAATATTAAAATAAAAAATTCACACTGCAAAAAATTAACTATTGCCATTTTATGCAGTTACCACCAGATTAATTCATTGTGTGCTTATTAGTTCTGCTTTTGCTAAAATCTTTGCTTGCGAGTTGAAAAGTTTTACGAGTTGAAAACTGCAGCTCAGTGGGCGGGATCTTCTAAAAAACCTTATTCTATTGGTCAATCTTGATTGTGGTCACAGGTTGGCCATTACGTTTTCTCGCTATTGGACCGGAGTCACCAGCAGTGTTGCCAACTTAGCGACTTTGTCACCAAAATATTTTATTATCATTGACATAAGTTTTTTAATTAAAGGTGTTTTTTACTGGAAATCTTTTATTTTTTAATTACTACGTAAGAAATTTTTCTTTAAAACTAAATATTTTTGATTGAACTAAAAAAAGAAACAAATCTATTTCCATAACTAAGCCGAAGGAAAATGAATGAATAAATAATGCAATAGTAAATGATGAACAATGATTAATAAATACTTTACAAGACTATTCATCCTTGGTCGACATTACTAAATACATTAAAAAGTGGACCATTATTCTAAAGTGTTACCGGATTAACAATAATTAAGATTATATTATAACGCCTGTTATTTGAATACTGACCTTTGGCCTCACACAGAAGCGTGGCGATGCTGTTCTGGTAGGTCTGTGTGAGTCTCAGCTCCACTAAAGGCAGAAAGAAGTTCTCAAGTTTGCTGTTTAGAGACTGTAGCAGAGCAAAGCGCAGACGAAAACTCTCCACTGGGACACCTGTGGGGACACGATCACATTCACTGCACATCCATCCCTTTTTTTCTTTTTTAAATGTTTCCCTAATTATGTTTAACAGATTCAGGAATTTTTAATTTTTTTATATATTTTTTTCAATAATATTTTTTCTTCTGGAGAAAGTCTGATTTGTTTTGTTTTGGCTAGAATAAAAGCATTTTAAGGGCAATATTATTAGCCCCCTTAAGCTATATTTGGCTTGGATTGTGAACAGACCACTGTTATACAATGAGTTACAAAATTATAACTTAAACCTAATTACCCTAGTTAAGCCTTTGAACGTCACTTTAAGCTGATTACTAGAGTCTTAAATATCTAGTCTAATCTTATGTGCAGTCATCATGGCAAAGAGAAAAGAAATATGTTATTAGAAATGAGTTATTAAAACTATTATGATTAGAAATGTGTTGGAATAATCTTCTCTCTGTTAAACAGAAATTGCAGGAAAAATATACAGGGGGTTTAATAACTCTGACTTCAGCTGTATAAAATAATAATAATAATAATAATAGACAGCCCATGAGAGGCTTTTGCATCTGAACTCTTCATCTGTAAACAAGATAACACAGAGATGGACTTGCTTAACCGACACGCAACCTCAGGATCGGCGCCATTTTTGCTGGCGACCAGGTAAACCTCATGTGGATGCAGACGGGCAGGAGTGATGGCCAGGTGACGGCTGAGATGGTTCACAAACTGCACCAATGCAAAGTCCATCTCAAAGCTCCATTTTCTGCTGGCTTTTTGGGCATGCAGACGCGCTGCAGATGCTCTGTTTAACTGTTTTTACTAGTGAAGCGTTCAGTTTTTACACTAACAAAGTCCGGCATGTAAATAGAAAATGCACCATATCCATATATATTAAAAAAAAGAAAAAAAAAAGAAGGCGATTATGGCATAATTGGTATCAACATTCTCAGGACCAGGAAATACATTAAGACCTGATGATACTTTTTTTAGTTATTTAAGTTATATAATTAGTTATTTTTATTCATTATTAGAATTAAATTGAATTGAATTTGATTTTATTTGACAGATTTTAGACAAGCTGTACAAAAGTACAAGAATCCCATATATTTTGAAATAAAAACTGTCGAGGATAAAAACCCAATAAAGCCCTGGACTTGTTTCCATTGCATTCCTCACAGTTAAATAAAACAAAGTATGGCTTCAAAATAAAGATGATGCATAAAACAAACAGGACCTCCACATTTTTTAACAGGAACAAAATAATTCACAAATACAATTATTCCTTCATTCATTCATTATTCTTTTCGGGTTAGTCCCTCTATTAATCAGAGGTCACCACAGTGGAATGAACCGTCAACTAATCCAGCATGTTTTATGCCGTGGATGGCCTTCCAGCTGCAACCCTATTCACAATCAAGTAACATATCAAATAAAACATCCTCGTCCACTATGCAAACTAATTATTCTCATCAAACAATCATCTTTTCATAGCTTTTCTGAACCTCCTTAAGTCTTTTATTTCCTTGACCGATTTTGGTAATCCACATGTTTGCACTTGTATATAAAAACGTATTTTTTCCCACTACACTTCTTAATTTAAATAAACAAATATTAAAATCTAAACCCCTAGTACTGTATGAATGCTGTTGCCTCACCATTTGAAAACAGTTTACCAAATAACTAGGAACCACATTATTAAACATTTTACGTACCATTCTCAGTTTTAAAAAACATTAGTGCTGTCAATCGATAAAAAAAAACAACTAATTAATCACACTTTTTGTTTTGCAATTAATCACACAAACATATTGTCTTCTGTAGCGTACAGTCCACAGATAAACTACTTATTGATTTTTATCACGGTCTGGCTTTAGTCGACAGGAGGGTTTTACGACTCCTGGCTCCAAGAAGTCTGGATTTTCGCGACAGCTTAAGTAATCTAGGGAGACTGGAGAGATAGGTCTGTCACATCAAAGACATTCCTGCCCAAATACACACACACACACACACATCCACGAGGCTGTTCCGACAGAAAGAAAATGAACTCATCAAATCCTGAACCAGCACAAAACTAAGGTGTTATGTTTTGTAAACTTTGTATCTCATTTCTGACTTTTCTTACCTGTGTAACCTCTCTTATAACCTGTATGCCAGTTCCTTTTAGGCCTTTTTAAAGCATAAATAATATGAGGATGTGAAAAATCATGTTGATGTACTTTTAAACCCCCCATGTTTGGTACCGATGGGTTTCTGCTGACATTTTACAACACATGATGCATAGAGCAAGACCATAACTCGCATTGCTTTATTCTTTAATCCCCTGTATTAAATGCCTGTCCGCATGCTTTGGGCGGACACTCAAATTTGCATACGAGCAGCCTCGAGACAAAGGAAGGTTCGCACGCAAACTTTTGTCCTGAAATCATTGGTCAGAATGCTGAACGGGTTGTCACGTGACCCGCAGGTATAACCAGACTTCTCCCCAAACATCCCGGAGAGAAAGCCCCGAACAAAGAACTCACAAAAAGGTTCTAAGCCGCATGGACTTTTTCCTGCCACGCTTTTCTTTATTTTCCGGCAATGTAAACTCAGTTTAAAGTTTGCGATCGCATTTCTCCGAACTGTATTACAAACTCAACGCATCAAGAAGGACATCAAAGGAGTTTCATCAGGACGGAAGCATAAAGAGAGAGACCCAGACATTAAGTCCAGGTAATTTTAGTTATGCGATTAAGCTGTGCCCCTTTTATCAAAAAGGTGTTTGTTATAATCTTGGTGGTCCTTAATGGTGCGTGTGGAACTGAAAGTTTTGTCACTCTTTTACCTGAAATCTCTATTTCCTCGCTTTACTATTTCTCTTTGTTGTTACACGTTTTATAGACTCGATACTATTAACGTGCTGACCCACCTCTCATACATCTTGTTTTAAAGTCCTTCAGAGGGGATCAAGCAATATTGGAGGAGGTCAAACCCTCCCCAAACCCCCTGTAATTTGCACATTGGTTATATTCACACACTGCTGCCACACAACTGTTTAAACCACTTATAAAAGTGATTTTGCATAATAGGCCCCCTTTAAGACTGCATCACTTAAGGCCAATAGGTGGCAACAAGTCAATATCTACATCATACAATATACTTCAAATCATTTTCACTGAAACATGCATGTTTAACCACATTTCTTAAACAAATCACATATTTTAAGCCAGTGTTTAAGGGACAGTTCACACAGAAATGAACATTTACTCATCATTCACTCACACACAAGTGGTCTCAAACCTTGAATTTCTTTCTTCTGTTGAACACAAAAGAAGATATTTTGAAGAATGTTGTAAAAGAAAAACAGCCAAACTTTATTTTGATGGTCAGTTTGTTGAATTTAAGTTACATTGCATCTACAGTACATGCCAACTAATTTTCATTAGACTGTTGGGTTGGGGTTAGGGTAAGTTGACATGCACTTGCAAAGTTTCTTACAGTCAGTTAAATGTCTGTTGAAGGAGCAGAATCAGCAGATATTAAGCAGACAGTCTACTAATACTCAAATGGACCATCAAAATAAAGTGGTACCGAAAAAAACCCACAATAGTAGGAACCAAAAATACTATGGAAGTCAACAGCTGCTTTTTTCCGACGTTCTTTAGAATATCTTCCTGTACAGACATTATTAGAACCCACTGTACATTATAATTGAAATCCTGATTTGCAATTCTACATTTGATTGTTCTTTGATGCAGTCCTTCTTCTCAAACGTTCTATAAGTTATTGTCTAACACATCAATAGATGTGAAGAAAATCCTATTGTTTACTTCTGTGTCTGGAACAAAGTGCTGTTATGCTTCTCTTGGATGAATATAAATTACAAGGCTGAGCTTTAATGCTGAATGAGACACACACAAGACAGTTTATTCAATTCACATTTATTGCAAGTGTTTGGCCTGCTGGGGAAATCAAGTTCTTTCTGGAGCAGTGATTGGTCACTCTGGGGATGATGAGTGGAGATCGTGAGGCAGGCCTTCTCGTCTGGAAGAGAACAGAGTCAAGAAAATCAGTGTCGATGTCTAAATGAAGCTGAATTTGAGTATGAATTAACATGACCTCTGACCCACAGAGAATTCTATATATACATATGTGTGTGTGACATACAGCATGTTCCAGAAGTGTTACTAAGCTCAGTCAGATGTCATGTCACTTAAATGAGATGAAATTACCTTTTAGAATGTGTCCACACTAGCTCCTGCTCCTGAAGTAGGCATAAGCAGCACAGACACCTATGCCGACTCCGACCCAGGCTGCTGGACTGCTCACGGCAGCTTTCACAGCACTTTTCACATTGTTGGAGATCCTTCTTCCCCATGAAGACTCGCTGTTCGCTCTCTCCTCTGTGTCTCCAGCGGCCTCTCTCTCTGTTTCTTTACTGGTCTTTCTCTCCTCTGTATCTCCAGCGGCCTCTCTCTCTGTTTCTCCACTGGTCTTTCTCTCCTCTGTATCTCCAGCGGCCTCTCTCTCTGTTTCTTCACTGGTCTTTCTCTCCTCTGTTTCTCCAGCTGTCTCTCTCTCCTCTGTTTGTCTTGGAGAGCTGCTGTCATTATCTGAGAGGACCTCAATTGTCTTGTCTGGGCCCCACATGATGATCAGAGGTTTATTCAGTAAATCAGTGAAGTTCAGAGCTTTTTGTGCTCGCACTGCATCACGTCGATGATGGAAAGTCACAAAGGCATAAGCAGGAGAGATGATGTTGTTTCTGCACACTTGCACAGTCGAGATGGACCCCAATGCACCAAACTTTTCAATAAGCTGTTGTTCGGTGACCATTGGGTGCAGATTGCTCACGAGCAGTGTCTTCAGCTCAATAAAGCGGCTCGTGGGGACCACAGGATCTGGTTGCTGGTCCCGTCCTGAATGCTCAAAAGTCACATAAATGTGTCTGCAATTAGTGTCTTCATCAAAAGAAAAATCCAAAGAGTGGATTTGGCTGAACTGTTTCATTGACTCAATCAGTTCTTGTTCGTCCACATCTGGGTCCAAAGTCAGAACAACCGATGACCACTCGTGATGAGGGTTGTCTGAAGACTGATTATAGTAAGAATCCATAGCGAACGAGTCCTTCACAATCACAGATTTGTCAATTCGTACAGTAACTGTGTGATTTACCAAGTCACCGTCCTGAATGCTGGCAAACTGAGATGAGCTGTTTTAACATAGAACTACTATAGAACACATTCTATGACTGTCGTTGCTAAGCAACCATCAGCTGGGAGCGCGTGTGTGCGCACACAAACAGGATTCTAAATTGTTTATAAATGAATCTTAATCTGTTGACTATTAGATAAACTATTTATTACTATTGTTTTATCCTACAGATGATTGTTAATGTGCTGTTAATTATTATTTATTAGAAAAACCACCACTACTATGTCAATTGTTTTTATATGTCCTATTTAATGTAAGCATCACAAATGCTTTGGAGATACATATGGAACATTTGTCAAGCCAATAAAATAATCTGAAAACATTGACTTTCTCTGTGTGTGTGTTGGTATTTTTAAAGGTTTAACATATACATCTATTGAAAAATAACCAGTTTCTGTTGGTTTACAGAAGCTTTTAGCAGAAACCTTTGTCTCTTCAGCTGCTTCAGTTTATTTAATGAAGGATTGAGTGCGGAACAGTTTCTTATCTGAAGATATTCGGTCACAGAACTAAACCTACCTGCAAGAGTGATTTATAATTGACTGAATAGAGTTGATAAAATAATAATATTCACGGGTGTAAAATTCACCTCACACCATATCCCTTATTAATCTTCTGTATATACTTAGAAATAAAGTATGTATGTATGTATGTATGTATGTATGTGTATACAGTTGATGTCAGAATTATTAATCCCCCTGTTTATTTTTTTCCCCAATTTCTGTTTAACGGAGAGAAAATTATTTCAACACATTTCTAATCATAGCAGATTTAATAACTCATTTCTAATAACTGATTTATTTTTTCTTTGCCATGATGACAGTAAATAATATTTGACTAGATATTCATCAAGACACTTCTATACAGCTAAAGTGACATTTAAAGGCTTAACTAGGTTAATTAGGCAGGTTAGGGTAATTAGGCAAGTTATTGTATAACGATGGTTTGTTCTGTAGACTATCAAATAAAATATTGCTTAAAGGTGCTAATAATTTCGACCTGAAAAAAACTTAAAATCTGTTTTTATTCTAGCTGAAATAAAACAAATAAGACTTTCTTCAGAAGAAAAAATACTATCAGGCTATTGTGAAAATGTCCTTGCTCTGTTAAACATCGTTTGGGAAATACTTAAAAAAAAAAAAAAAAATTAAAGGGGGGCTAATAATTGGCTTCATCATTCTGTCTTCAACTGTATGTATGTATGTATGTGTGTGTGTGTGTGTGTGTGTATATATTTTTATTTATATTATTATTATTATAATTAACTTGAATACATTTACATATGTATACATAATAATTTTTATTATGTATTTAATTATTATTTGATGAATTCAGGCTCGAAAAAAACTTAATCACCTGCAAAACCACAGTTCAACCTTTAGATGTCAGTTTTTATGTGCCCAGTTATGTGTAACAACAATCATGTCTAATTTTTAGTCATATTTTGAAGTCAGAATCATAAGCCCTCTTTTATTTATTGTTTTCTTTTTTAAATATTTCCTAAATGATGTTTAACAGAGCAAGGAAATTTTCACAGTATGTCTGATAATATTTGTTCTTCTGGAGAAAGTCGTATTTGTTTTATTTTGGCTAGAATAAAAGCTTTTTTTTGTTATTTCAATTTTTTTTGGTCTTTTGCATGACAATAAAAACTAAATATTGAGAGGTCTAGTTAAATATCTAGTCACATATTATTTACTGTCATCATGGCAAAGATAAAATAAATCAGTTATTAGAAATGAGTTATTAAAACTATTATGTTTAGAAATGTGTTGAAGAAATCTGCTCTCTGTTAAACAGAAATTGGGGAAAGAATAGACAGGGGGGCTAATAATTCTGACTGAACAGAAAAAAGAAACTCAAACAGGTTTTAAACAAGTGGCGGATGAGGAATTTTCAGTATTTAACTGTCCCTTTAACATCTTTTACGTTTAGATGATCATATATGAGGTTTGTGTTTATAATTTCCGCATAAAATCAGAAATCAGAAAAGTAAAATTAATGACCTTCAAGATTTTTGGCAGGAGATTTCTCAGGGTCTTTTTCATCGGGTTTGGTCTTCTCTGGAGATTTTGGCTTGAGGACGGTTGTTTTCTCACTCAGTACAGTTCTGGAGAAACAACATTTATCATATGATCTACAGTACATGATAAAATCACACATAAACTGCTATTATATACAGCATTTCATAAGAAAAGTTGCATTTTTATATGATAAGGAATGCTAGTATGAACTTAAAGGCACAATATGTATGATTTTTCATTAAAATATGCAAAAACCACTCGGACAGTGTTATATATTTTGCTGTCTTATGTACATACATTATCCACACAAATTTTTTGTAGAATATTGACATTGAGATAGATTTAATGTGTGCTGTGTGTTCATGCTAATGTCATCACACACATTTCTGCTTTGGTTTTCTAGAAAACAGGGAAACAGCAGCGAGGCTTTAATATGTTGTGTGTTTTATTCAACTGCACATAGCAGCATTATAACAGAAGCCTAACATGTATTTAGTCTGATAAAAAAAGGGCTGCTTCTCCATGTGACTACAAGATAAAGAACCAGAAGCGTAGGACTAAGGCATAATAAAAGCTCTGCTGCTTTTCTGTGCTGAATGGTTAATACTAATAGTGTTGAATAACTTTACTCATCAACATAAGTCCTGTAGAATAAAGAAGACCACAACTCCCATGATTCCACACTCAGGGTGCTTTCACACCTGTGAACAGATTCATTTGTTCCGAAAACAGGGATTTACAGGGATTAAACAGGGCGCAACGTATTTGTGGACTGGGAGGGTCCACTGTGCATTTGCGGGTGACTTCCGGGAGACTTGGGATGTCTGGAAAGACTTCCCGCCCTACTCATAATTCTGTCTTTATAAAGCCGAGTATATGCCTATTACATATCCATAAAACACTGTGATATAGCCGGGCTCGGATCGTATCGCTTTCTCACTACAATGGATCCGCTCCAGAGTTCATTTAAATCAAGCCGAGACCACCTCATTCAGGCGATCTCAGACCGATTGTTTAGGGGTGGATATGAGCGTGATTGCTGTATTCACATATGCGAAACAAACAGTGCTAACTGGGCAAACGAGACATTTTTCGAAACAAAAGTCTAGGTGTGAAAGCACCCGTCACACAGTCATCAAACTACACCTTTGTTTGTTGTGAATAGTGGTAAAAACTACATACTGCACCTTTAAATATTTAATCGGTCACACTTAGCAATAAGATTTCCTTAACCTCTTAAACCCCAGTGCTATTTTGAGATTTCCACCTGGATTTTGCCGACCCAAATTTAAAAGCTTCCAAAATCCACACGCAGAGGTGTAAATGCAAAAATTTGGTATCATTTTAAAGAAAACCCTTTGAATTTTTATAAAGCACCATAGAAAGTGTTTAAAATAACTTTATATGTTATCTGTGTTACACTGGAGCATTTTAAAGCCGCGATTCATCAGCGGATCACTCATATGTTAGCTTATAGACAAATCAGCTGATGGATGTGACTTTAAAACACAGTGTCCCAGTATATGTGGTTACACTCAGTAAACAGCGGTGAGTTCGGTAAACTGATGACCTTCACGGCCAATTGCAGTCATTTCTGTTGAGCATGTAAACACAATGGCAAATCAGCTCTGTTTAAGAAAGCGCTCAATGGCGCTCAAATGTTAGCGTGAAATGGACGTTTTTAAACAGAATCACAGGCTCGTTCTGAAAACATAGTCCCGTGGACGTTTCTGGAGACCGCGAATTATGTAGCCGGAGGTACGTATGGTATGGCTGCATTAAATTTATTTTAAACGAACGCTAACTGTGGAAGGCTTTCCCACCGCAACTAGTTTGTCCAGTTAGCTCGTCATGTACGTCAACGGACTTGAGACGCCAGACGACGATGGCGGGATTCGAGTCCAGGGTGGAGCGGTTCCAGAAATCAGGTAAGACAAAAACAGAATCCAAAAAATAAAATAAATGAGTGAAAAACAGGGTGAGAATGTGGTAAAATCCAAAAACATGGTAAAAATCCGACGAGGGCTTTTCTTTTTCTGGACGGCTTTTGAAAATCATTGGTTGGATTTAGGAAAGTAAGTAAGTGGGCGGTTTAATCAAAAAATTGGTTGGGTTTAGGGAAAAAGGAGGGTGGGTCGGTCAACAGTGGCCTCCGGTGGGTTTAAGCGTGTACAGTGGGAGCAAACGGCACTAGAGGGAGAACTTACTCGAGAAATTTGAGATCATAAAAAGCGTACACAGAGGCCTTTTGTGGATTTGCGAAAACAAAAAATGCAATAATAAGTACCTCCCGGGACGTATTTCGCAGTGTACAGAAACGTCCATGGCACTACGCTTTCAGAATGAGCCTTGGTTGTTTTTAAAACTTCAGTATTGATTGGTACCGAATTCCAGTATCGTGACAACACTATAAAAGCACATTTAAGACACTTCAAGACTTAATAAAAAGGAAAACAAACAGTAGAAATAAACAAAACAGCAGTGTGTTGAATGCAACATATAATGTCTAGGGCAGGGGTGCCCAAACTCGGTCCTGGAGGGTTGGTTTTCTGCAGAGTTTAGCTCCAACTTGCTTCAACACACCTGCCAGGAAGTTTCTAGAATAGTTAGAGCTTAATTAACTGGTTTAGGTGTGTCTAATTAGGGTTGGAGCTAAACTCTGCAGGACACCGGCCATCCAGGATTGAGTTTATACACTCCTGGTTGTATAAACTCAGAGCAAATTAAAGAAGCATAACTCACCTAGCAGCTCCACGACCTGAATGAGCACAGAAGTGGGCACCGTGTCCAGCTCATCCTCAGAACGCTCTATGGTTTCTCCTACACTGTAGGTTAGCAGCTGTTCAGCGAAGGCCATCGACAATGGAAACTCAAGAAGCAACGAGTGCAACACCAGCACTGCTCCAGGAGGGGGAGACACGCCTGTGGACAGAAATATAGATATGAGCTAAAGTCAGCAGGAATGGTCTTAATGAATCTGATTGTTCACTTAGAGAACGCAAAATAATGCAGATCACTGTTAAAATAAAATAAATGTACAGTGGGGAAAATAAGTATTAAACACATCATGTTTTTCTAAAGGAGCTGCTGACATGGAATTGAACCAGATTTTGGTAAAAACCCAAACAATACAAACATAAACATAAAACAAAAGCAAAAAATATGAGTTTTGTGTAATAACAATGAAACAACACAAGGAGAAAGTACTGAACTGTTGAAACGTATTTAATACTTTATATAAAAGGATTTTTTTGGTGATCGCAGCTTAAAGACGCCTCTCACATGGAGACTGAAGCCTCATGCGTTGCTCAGGTGTGAAATTCTCATAGACTTCAACAGAGTGTCAAAATCTTGATGCGCCTGTGGGTCTCGTCTATCATTTCTGAGCTTAATTTTATGTTTTCTATTGAATTCAGTTCAGGTGATTAGCTGGGCCATTCTACAGCTTGGTTTTCTTTCTCTGAAAGCATTTGAGAGTCTCCTTGGCTGTGTTTTGGATCACTGTCTTGCTGAAATGTCCACCCTGGTTTTATCTTTATCCTCCTGCTAATGTAGATGTTGGACTGAAGCAGCTGATGTTCATTTACACTGAGGAAGGGCAGAGGGTTGCTAAAGAACTACTGAGAGATTTCAGCTGCTGTCTGGGCTTTCCAAGTCTTTCTACACCCCATTTCTTCATGTGTTCGATTATTTTTCCCTGCGTTATTTCATTTTATTGCACATCATTTAATGAATAAAGGAATTGGTTTTATTTTCTTTGTATATATGGATTTCTTTAGTTGTTACCGACATGCAGTGAACATTTCAAGTCTCCAGCACCGTTAGAAATATGATTTCTGAGAAAAATGGTGACGTGTTCAATACTTCTTTCCCCCACTGTATGTAAGAGAATGTGACGTGCCCAATTTGTCGTGCACTTTGTCGGTGGGGATAATGATGCTAGGATACTGGTTGGCTGTGGGTGGAGAAGTGAGGCCGGTGTTGGACGGAGAGGCGTCCAGCGGGAAACACACGGCCCCCATCAGGTTCAGCTGGCCATTACGCTGCACTTTATGACTGAATCCATACACCATCACTCGAGTCCATGGAGCTTTGAACAGAGAGGAACTAAGAGAGAGAAAAAATTTAATTAGCATTATCAAATATTTGTACAGGCGGTTCATTCCGCTGTGGCGACCCCAGATTAATAAAGGGACTAAGCCGAAATGAATGAATAAATGAATATTTGAACACAAAATGTCCTTAACACAGGGACTACTGTAATGGCCATAGCGGTCATTCTTACCTTCCTCATATTGAACATTACATTCATTCCTATAACTGTGCATTCACACCGAAGAAGGTGGTGAGAACGTCAAAGGTCGCCGTTGCAGCATATCATATCATATCATATCATATCATATCATATCATATCATATCATATCAGTTACATTACCACATAAAACATGCTTTCTAGCGTGAAGATGTTGCACACTTTTTATCAAATTCAATAAACAATGGAAGATCAAGTTTGTGGTGTGGCTTTGCTTCACTTAATTTTCCAACATGTCCATATGTCTGAAATATCCTGAAGCAACAATACTGTTCTGTTTTGTCGCATGAGATTCTCGCTTTTTTTAAAGAAAAATAAATATATATATCATCCATGCACATCAGAAACTCGCCAGTAACTTTTTTTAATGTGTGTTCCTGTAAGAAAAACATTGGAAATAATTGGAAATCTGGCGTAATAATCAAAGCCTTGGGAACAAGTGTGGTCGGAACCAAAGTTCACAGATTGTTTTCTGGACTCTTCTCAATCGGTGAATTTCTACATTCTGATTGCTTGCCGCCGAACCGCGTCATTGCTCATTACCATAAAGTTGACTTGATTTCAACGCTCCAACCCTCACAGTAATGCAAAAACAGTAATTACACAGTGTATAATTCATATTATTTATCAAACTGCCCATTGATTTCTCAAACTGCCCATTGGTATAATATTAATGTTGTATCGAAATTAGCTCCGTTTATGAATATTAATAATCAATAATAACCGGTTATTATTAATTATTAATATTCCGGCTCACCCTTCTGTCAATTTGGTTATATATATATATATTTATGATTCTGCCCCCCTCGTCCAAGCGCACTCTGAGATTATGAATATTTATTATCAATAATAACAAATTATTATTAATCATTCATATTCTGAATTAACTTGTTGTTAATTTGAGCAAATACATATAAACAGACCTCGCCCGCTTGCCTGAGCGGACTCTGTAATAATCTATTTACTTAGAAAGGGAATTATTACTACTCCTTGTAGATCAATCATTTATAAGTTTTGATTAACTTATTATAGCTTGTAGCAAGGAATCAATCGTTTCAGTGACTTTTTCTGTGAGGCAAACAATACAATCCAACGTGATTATAAGTATATTTATTGACTAGTCTGACATATAACAAACAAACGCACAAACATAGAACAAACGTATACTGAAGATATATAGGCTATATATGGATCTATAGAACATATAAAAAACAAAAAGAAACAGAAAAGCGAGGAATTAGAGAGTTTAGGTAAAAGAATGGCAAATCTACCTCAGTTCCACACAACTATTCAGGACCACCAAGATTACAAAAAACACATTTTTGATGAGGGGCACAGGCTTAACGCATAACCAAATACCTGGAGTTTTAGGATTTTTCTGTCTCTCTCTTTTTGTGAGTTTCTTCCGATGCACTCGGGTACGAAGTCCTTTGATGTCCTTTCTTGATGCGTGGAGTTTGCAATGCAGGTCGGAGGATACACGATCGCAACTTTAAACTGAGTTTTACTTTGCTGAAAAAATAAGAAAACGTGGGCTCGGACGAGCCATGCAGTTACAGAAATGCGGTTTGCCCCCTCAAATGGGGGGCGCACCTTTTGAAAAGCTTCTTTTGGATCTTCTACGCAGAGTTGCGCGCGCAGCTGGGTTTTAAACTGTGGTGGCATGTCAACTACTGACTGACCAATGGTCTCCTGGCAAAGTTTGAGCGGGAGATTTTCTTTGTCTCTGGACCGCTAATATGCAAAATAAGGATCCGCCCGAAAGCATGCGAAGAGACATTAACTCAGAGCATTAAATCATTTAAGCTGTATAGATTATGATCATGCGCTACGCATCATGTGTTGTAAAATGGCAGGAGAAACCTAACGGTATTAAACACGACAGTTTTAAGAAATACATCAACATGATTCACACATTCTTAGCTGGTATAGTGTCTTAAAAAGGGCACGAGAGAGAGATTCACATGATAGAAAAGTCAGAAATGAAATACAAAGTTTACAAACACATAACATTTACTTATGGGCTGATTCAGGATTTCTGAGTCCATTTCAGCGTCGGGAGCCTTGTGTGTGTGTGTCCCTGTGTTTCTCGGGAGGAAGGGGGGACAGGAATGTCTTTTGAAGTTTGGGCAACCATCTCTGGCTTACCTCTAGATAAGTGAGGTGTCACACAGGCACAGGCTTTGTGGCACCAAGAGTCATAAACCCACGTAGAGGAGACATAGACCCCTTTATAAAATCAATACGTAATTTTATCTACGGACTGTATGTTAAATTGTCTACCCTTACCCCAACCTCCCAGTAATGCAAAAACTGTGATTATTGTTGCACAGTGTCACAAAAATGACGCTATATAAATGTGGGTATCCACAGCTGTACCCCTTACTGTGCTCTTAACTCACTCTTTGAGTTGACTCTCTTTGCAGGAGACGAGCCGGAAAAGTTGACGTCCATGCTGACCTTTGACTCGGTGATGGGAATCTCCTCCAGCGTAAACTGCTCAGGCGCACTCTGGAGTACAGAGAAGATGTATTCAGCAAAAAAACATGTTAAGCATATTTTCACCAAATACACAAACATGTACATACTTTAGTATACAGGGCTGTACTAATGGGCCCACAGTGTGCCAAGAAAATATCCCCCACACCATTTCACCAACACCAGCAGCCTCAACTGCTGATACAAGGCAGGATGGATCAATGTTTTATTGATGTTGATGCTAAATTCAGGAGAAACATTACATGACTTAAACATGACAGTTTTAATAAATACATCAACATGATTCACACATTCTTAGTTGGTACAGTGTCTTAAAAAGGGCACGAGAGAGAGATTTACATGATAGAAACGTCCTAAATGAAATACAAAGTTTACAAACACATAACATTTACTTTTGGGCTGATTCAGGATTTCTGAGTCCATTTCAGCGTCGGGAGCCTTGTGTGTGTGTGTCCCTGTGTGTCTCGGGAGGAAGGGGGGACAGGAATGTCTTTTTAAGTTTAAGCAACCATCTCTGGCCTACCTACCCCAACCTCCCAGCAATGCAAAAACTGTAATTATTGTTGTACAGTGTCATAAAAATGATGCTATATAAATGTAGGTATCCACAGCTGTACCCCTTACTGTGCTCTTAACTCACTCTTTGCGGCAGCTGAGTTGACTCTCTTTGCAGGAGACGAGCAGGAAAAGTTGACGTCCATGCTGACTTTTGACTCGGTGATGGGAATCTTCTCCAGCGTAAACTGCTCAGGTGCACTCTGGAGTACAGAGAAGATGTATTCAGCAAAAAAACATGTTAAGCTTATTTTCGCCAAATACACAAACATACTTTACATACTATACATACTTTAGTATACAGGGCTGTACTAATGGGCCCAAAGTGTGCCAGGAAAATATCCCCCACACCATTTCACCGACACCAGCAGCCTCAACTGCTGATACAAGGCAGGATGGATCCATGCTTTATTGATGTTGATGCTAAATTCTGACCCGACCATCCGAATGTGGCAGCAGAAATGGAGACTCATCAGACCAGGCAACGTTTCTCTAATCTTCTATTGTCCAATTTTGGTGATCCTGTGTGAATTGTAGCCTCAGTTTCCTGTTTTTAGCTGACAGGAGTGGCACCCGGTGTGGTCTTCTGCTGCTGCAGAACATCCGCCTCAAGGTTGGACGTGTTGTGCATTCAGAAATGCTCTTCTGCAGACCTCGGTTGTAACAAGTGCTTATTTGAGTTACTGTTGCCTTTCTATCAGCTGGAACCAGTCTGGCCATTCTCCTCTGACCTCTGACCGCTCGCTGCATATTTCCTCTTGTTCGGACCATTCTCTGTAAACCCCAGAGATGTTTGTGTGTGAAAATCCCAGTAGATCAGCAGTTTCTGAAATGCAATTTCTGGCACCACCAACCATGCCACGTTCAAAGCCACTTAAATCCCCTTTCTTCTCCACTCTGATGCTCGCTTTGAACTGCAGCAGATCGTCTTGACCATGTCTACATGCCTAAATGCATTGAGTTGCTGCCATGTGATTATAAATTTACACTAACAAGCAGCTGGACAGGTGAACCTAATAAAGTGGCCGGTGAGTGTAAATTGAAAAAAACATATGTTTGATGTTTATGAAGTGTTAAACTTCAAATGTGAAGGTCATGCAACGCGTTTTGTGTTTTCACAGTCTCCCGAATTCCCGAGAACCTGTTTTAAAACGATGATGATGATGTGTATATGTGTGTGTGTGTGTGTGTGTGTGTGTGTGTGTGTGTGTGTGTGTGTGGTACCTGCAGGAAGCAGCAGATCTGTTTGGTGAGCTCCAGCAGACTGTTCTTCCCCTGATGCAGACCTCTGCTAATGGCCATGCTCAGCTACTCGTGGACACTCTGAGCTTTTCCCTGATAGAAGAGCTCAGTCGGAGAGGAGAAAAATGAAAGCCAAGACCTTTGCGTGTTCTAATATCTTAACTACATATTTATAGGCTGTATTACCAAAAAAATATTATATTTTTAGGGTAATGGTGTCATTAAATATAATGCCAGACATTCAAAGCTTAATTTTAATATCTCAATAATAGCTTTGAATGTAAATATGTTGTGACAATATGGCGTTTTATATGAGAACGGTCAGAATGAGCAGTTTGGTAATTCTTATAGTTACAGAATTCTAGTTCCACTGTTAATAAAGCTTACTCTCATGTCTGTGTTAACACAGAATAAAGCGAGTGCGTTGATGCCCATTCTGACAAATCACAGATGTTTCTGTTGAGCTCCTGAGCACACAGGCATTCAGCTCATGCTGATATGCCCTCTCATTGGCTGCAGCTCGTCACTACACGTGGGGTTGAGTCGGCCGACTGCTCTGGAATATTTAGCACTCAAATCAGGCTTAAAATCCTCTAGTGTGAACTAGGCTTTAGTTTGAAAACGGTGTTTTAGATCAAAAACGATCTACGTCCACAATAGCGTTTCACCTAGCGTTTCTGAACATATCTCCGTCCACACTACGCCACCAAAAACGTATATCACATGACCATCCGCGCACTCTGGGCATGCGCGTTCTAGCAAATATATGCAGCTGCTGTAGTAAAAAGGCAGAGTTTAACTGCACAATGGCGCCTAAAACAGACAATAGTGCTAACAACGCTCCCATTTCTGTGTCCATGTTTTTGTTTAAAGTGAAGGCTGGTCTGTTGTCTTCTGGTAGCGTTAAAGTTATGTGTTATAGTCAGTGTTAATTTTGACAGCAAATTCTGATTTAGTCTTAGTCTTAGTCTTTGGATTAATACACCATTTAGTTTTAGTCCTATTTTAGTCATCTGAAATCTTTTAGTCTTAGTCTAGTTTAGTTGACTAAATATCATAAGAGTTTTAGTCTTAGTTTAGTCTTAAGTCTATTAGTCTTAGTCTAGTTTTAGTAGACCAAATATTAGCAGATTTTTCTCCATAATTCATGTATTTGTAAGTATAATGAAATATATGGAAGCATATATAGAATACAGGCACATATCTTATTGTTGTAATAAAAACATTTTATTACATGTCAAAAACATGAGTCTTTTTCACAAAAAATAACCAAAAGACCTGCTCTCCCTGAACAATATACATGCTCCCTGAAAAAGATATGCATTGTCCCGGAATTATATGAAACGCATATGACATTCTTTCAAGATAAAGTACAGCATTATTGAAATAGATAACCGATGAACTTACTGTCTTTTACAGTCTTTGCAAAATCAAAAGCATAAAGAAATATAAAGTGCAATTCTCAAAAATTAAAATAACTGGTTGTAATGCCACTTCACAAGGTATTTAAATACAAAAAATAAACACTACTGTAAATGTCCATGTACCTCAAGAGAAGTTAAATAACTTCTAAGACACAATGCCTTGCTACTCTGTAAAATCAACAAGATTTTGAACAGAACAAATTAGTGCAATTCTTAAATTTAGAAGAAAAGATGTATTAGCTGCAATGCCACACAATGCCAAAGAAATAGTCCTTAAAGTTCAAGTAAATAAAAACTCCTCTCTGCTCTCTCAGCAGTGAAAATACAGGTAAATCACATTAAACAAAAAAAAAAAAAAAAAACCATACAACTATGTTAGCATCATTTTCTTCATGCGGTTACTGTCCTGTGTAAATTGTATACTACTACAGGAAATGTTGCAATAGTGAATACAATATTTCTATTTGTTCCTGTTCATCTTAAGGAAAGCACTTCGCTCCAATGTGACCCTTCCTCTGTTGCGCCGTCCTCTTGTGAGGTCACCTGTGATGCTAAATACCCTCTCTGCAAAAGCTTGAGAAGCGGGCATAGCTAACAAGTCTAATGCAAAAGGTTTTAAACTGTGGTAAACACTGTCACTCTTTCCCAGCCAGAAGTCTGTTCCTGTGTCCTCAATGATGGGATGGGAGAGTTCTTCCTTGTACTTGATGATCTGCTGCCTGATGTTGCTTGTGGAGGTTTTCTGTTTAGGCCTTGTGGTGCGGCATTTTGAGAGAAACCTAAACACCGGCTGCTTTGAGGATGGCGCTGCTTCTGGTTCCTCAATAACCTCCTCTTCATCATTTTCAGACTGGCCCTCCTGTTTTGTGCATTTGACTACATAGTCTTCTGCCTGCTTTAGCAGTTCTTGGATATTTCCATTAGCAACATCAACATTAACAATGATTTCACAGACAGTTGGGTTAACAAAGCAGGCAGCTGCTGCAAGTGGTGAAAACTTTTCATCAGTTGTATCCAAGATGCAAGCAAAACGCTGGTTCAGATTTGATCTCATCTTGTCTGCAAGAGTAGCGAGGTCTCTGTACCGAGTGTTCACTGCAAAGTCAGTTAGGTGGGTCAGCAGATCAAAGAGGGCAGGAACCACTAGAGACATAGATGTGGTGTCACTCTGAAGAGTTTTCAAGAGTTCACACTTAGCTGATAATCAATAAAGCGTATTTGGCATGCTGTCCCGGGAGAGAGCCCTGAGCTCGTAATATCCTCGAGCCCGGGGCTCCCTCCCGTTAGAAGGGCGAGAGGGGAATTCGAGGTCAGGTAGGTCTCGAGAACTCCCCTGCTTGTCACCGTGAGAAGTGTAAACTCAGGTTGTATTGGGTGATAATTTGTTTTAGTCGATTGCTATGGTTTATGTTTTTGGACGGTGGGAGGAAACCGGGGAACCCGGGGAAAACCCACGCGAACACGGGGAGAACATGCAAACTCCACACAGAAACACCAACCAGCCCGATGGGTTGGACTAGCGGTGTTCTTGCTGTGAGGCAACAGTGCTAGCCACTGGGCCACCGTGTCGCCCGATCAGAAAAAGTGGGAGGATGTAGGGGTGGAAGGGGGGGGAGCTTCAAGACGAAGATAACTGGAGTGGAAAACTCATGTTATTTATAATGCTTCCGTAATCATCTAATAGGGCTGATTACGGAGCTAACAAGGAGCCAGCCGTGTTGATTATAAGCACGTGATCCTCTCGAAATTAGTTTATGAATAAACCACACTTCAAGAGTTCACACTTAGCTGATAATCAATAAAGCGTATTTGGCATGCTGTCCCGGGAGAGAGCCCTGAGCTCGTAATATCCTCGAGCCCGGGGCTCCCTCCCGTTAGAAGGGCGAGAGGGGAATTCGAGGTCAGGTAGGTCTCGAGAACTCCCCAAAAGGCAAAGGTTTTCATCTCGGGACAGCAGCCGCGTATTGAAGTGCCCCCCAAAAGGCGAGAGGTCAGTGCCATATCCGGCTGCTGAATGTAAATTGAAGTGAGATAGGTTACTGCAGGAGAAAAGTTGAAACTGATTCTTAGGAGAGGCTGGGGACTCTGTTAGAGTTGGGTTCGGGGAGGCAGGGTTGGGGAGCCTAACGGAAGAAAGGAGAGTAGCAGAGGGATTTGGTGCTAGAAATAGGAAAGTAGCGGAGTAACTCGACGCTGAAAGAAGAAAAGTAGCGGAGGAACTCAACGCTGGGAAAGGGGAATGTAGTGGGTAGGGGAGAGGGGTTGTAGAGGGGGTGGAGAGAAGAGCGGAAGCATTCGACGCTGGAAGGAAGTAAAGAGGATGCGGAGGAACTCAACGCTGGGAAGAGAGCATGAGATGCGGCGGAACTCGACGCTGGAAAGGTAAAGAAAAGAAACCTATGGGAATCAGAGCTCTGGGTCAACTCCGTGGGAGTTAGAGCTGTAGGATTGGACTACTACAGGAGTCTGGGAAGGGAGGGAGAGGTGGAGACTCCTGTAGGTGGTGGGCTGAGCAGGACTCCGGGGGAGTCAGATTGGTGAGTGATGTTTTTGAAATATAGAAAGAGTAGCGGAGGAACTCAATGCTGAAAATAGTAAAGTAGCGGAGAAACTCAACGCTGAAGAAAGAAAGTAGCGGAGAAACTCAACGCTGAAAAGGGGGATTGGGAGTTAAGGGTGGGGAGAGGAGAGAAGTTGTAAGAGGGGGGAGAGGAAAGAGCGGAAGCATTCGACGCTGGAAGGAAGAGAAAGAGATGCGGAGGAACTCAACGCTAGGGAATATAGGACAGGAGATGCGGAGGAACTCAACGCTAGAAGGTAGGAAAGATGCGTATTTGGCCGGGGCGAGAGAGAGAGGGGAGGGGGGACTCCGTGGGAGTCTTAGCTCTTGGGGTAACTCCGTGGGAGTTAGAGCTGAAAGATTAGGCTCCTACAGGAGTCTAAATGGGGAGGGGGTGGTGGAGACTCCTATAGGAGGTGGGCTGGGCAGCACTCCGGGGGAGTCTAAGCTTAGACTGGAAAGGTAAGAGTAGCGGAATACTCAACGCTAGAAGGAAGTGATAGTAGCGGAGCAACTCGACGCTGAAAAAGAAAAGAAGCGGAGAAACTCGACGCTGGAAAGGGGGTAGGGAGTAAAAGATATTGAGGAGGTGGGGGGAGAGTGGGAGGGGATGGAGGAAAGAGCGGAAGCATTCGACGCTTGAAGGAAGGAAAGGAGGTGCGGAGGAACTCAACGCTTTAGAACATAGAATAGGAGATGCGGAGGAACTCAACGCTAGAAAACAAGAAATTTGTCGATTGTGGAGGGGGGGGGTTTGGGGTAATTGATTGACTCCGAGGGAGTCAGGCCTTGAATGGTGATACTTAGGCTGAAGAGATGAGAGTAGCGGAAGAACAACGCTAGAAGGAAGAGATAGTAGCGGAGCAACTCGACGCTGAAAAGAGAAAAGTAGCGGAGAAACTCGACGCTGGAAAGGGGGTAGGGAGTAAAAGATGTTGAGGTGGTGGGGGGAGAGTGGGAGGGGATGGAGGAAAGAGCGGAAGCATTCGACGCTTGAAGGAAGGAAAGGAGGTGCGGAGGAACTCAACGCTAGAAAGGAGAAGAAGGAGGTGCGGAGAAACTCGACGCAGGAAGGAAGTGAAGACTGAAAAGATTTTATACTGGTAGCCTTGGGGAAAAAAAGTTTTGCTCCTGTTGGGGTCGGGGTTCAGGCACTCTTGGAGGAGAGATAGGGGGAGATTATTTGCTGAACTGGGAGCGCTGAAAGAGGGGGTGGGGGGGGGGGTTGGGGAACAGGCAGAATTAAATTTCTGTCCTTGTATTCAAGATAGTGGATGTCGTGAGTGCGAGCTGTGAGGATGAATTGATATCCTCTCCAAATGTATACATGCATCACGCTGAGGCTGTTACGTGTAATTGAGCTAGACGATAATAACGAGTAAACGCTTTTATGGAGGCGTTTAAACTGTTGTGAAGTGTCAATAGTGGTATGTTGAATGGAAGTGTATGTGGGCTCAGGCAGAGCGTCACTGCTGCGACAGTGAAGCGGGGGGGAAAAGAAGCTCTGCAGCTTCTCTGCTGTTGCAGAGGTGGAAGTCAATGTCATCCATTTGGAATGGATGTGGAGTGTAATAGGTTGGATGAAGGTCAGCTTCTGGGCCGGTTGTCCTAATGTCTGGAATGAGAAACAAGAAAAATCAGAAATTTAATTTACAACATGATACATGTATAACAAACATGACAAAATTGTTTTAGCTGATAACTAATGCAAGGCATCTTAAGAGCATGGACAATTGTGAGCTTCGTTGTCGCAGTCTGCGAGGATGATCGAGGTGGGCATTTGTTCCCCCACAGGATAGCAGGTGGATGCAGAGCTGGGGATATGGGGTGTAGCTTGTCTGGTGGTCCTAGAAATTCTTCTTGAAGATTTATTTAAATGTCCTATTCATGCAGTCAAGCGAAAGTTAGTTTCTTTACCATTTTCACCTCCAGCCGGCGTGCCATTATAAGTTACATATGGCACTGTATATGCAAGTATGGGTCATTGACGTATTACGATTGGACTTTGTGTTAAATTCTCACTGGTTGGGTAGTAGTCTTTACAGAAGTTAAATGCTATCAGATCTGGCAGAGGTTTTTTTTTTTTTTTTTTTTTTTTTTTTTTTAATTTATTTTATTTATTTATTATTATTATTTATTAATTCATTCATTTATTATTATTATTTGTCAATTTATTTGTTTATTATATCAAATCCCAACATCAAACGCTTAATTCATTACTTAGTTGAAACTGTATGAATGGAATGTTAGTTATGGCTTTACTTAATTTGTTTAAATACATGTTAGGAATCTTAACTTCTAAAATTCTTAATCTTAACTTAATTTGCAAGCATGTCTGTCTCAGTTCATTCACGAGTCTTTTATGGCTGGGTTCATTCATGAATTGTTGAGAGGGCGGAACCATATCGAGTTTTAAAAGCGCATTGGATGAGGGCACTGCTCCTTCGCTATTGGCTCGATGGGGCGTCAATCAAGATCGGAGGCTAAGTTTGTTTACCAGTGTTGTGTGAAGACACTGCGGCACACCAGCTACTAGTTTGGATGATAACAGCGCGGTCCATCGACGTATCAATATGTCGTGGATTAATGTCGTGATCTTTGCAGTGATTTACTTATGGATTTGTGGACGGGCTTGAGGGTGAGTTCTTATGAATCTTCTAATCACGCAAGTCTTGTTTTTAAAAGATTTGTAAATAGGTTTAGTCTTTGATGGAGATTAGTTGTTTCCGCGATGCTTCCCCTTAAAAGCGTACTATACGTTACCGAGGGTGCACCGCTAGGAAGCAGTGAGTTAGGCTTTTGCGATGTTTTGGATCGTCGACGCCTAGAGAGTTTAGGTGGAGTTGTGGACTGCGTTTGCGTGAGGCAGTTTGAAGTGGAGATGGAAGAGCTGGTGGGCAGCACCGGCGTTTTTGCGGGAATTCAGGCTCGATTTTGGCGAGGCTGCGGCTGAATTCTCAGGGAGAGTGGAGCTCTGGCTGGAGTTGTTGTTTGTTGTTGTTGTTGTTGTTGTTTGTTCTTCCGTATCGATAGGTTAAATGGTGCGATGCTGGAGCGTTTTGTAGCGGGAAGCGAGCTTCAAGACGAAGATAACTGGAGTGGAAAACTCATGTTATTTATAATGCTTCCGTAATCATCTAATAGGGCTGATTACGGAGCTAACAAGGAGCCAGCCGTGTTGATTATAAGCACGTGATCCTCTCGAAATTAGTTTATGAATAAACCACACTTAGTGTGTTCTGCAAAAGGTAGCAATAGGTCATGCAATGAGGAAAGCTTTTGCCACTCACTAGTAAGCAAACTGTCCCATCCCATGTCATTTGAGATTTGACAGACTGCATCTTTGACTTTGAGGAGTCGTGTGATCATGTTAAATGTGCTTGACCAGCGTGTGGGGCAGTCATTTACAACAATAACACCACATTGGTCCAATAACTTTTGTGTTGCAACTGAGGACTTGCGAAAGAGCTTCACCACAGACCTAGCTTTATCGAGAACTCTTTTGACAGTTGTTTCTTTCTGCAACATGTGGACCACCAGTTGTATGGTATGCACAACACATGGTGTCCGGTCCAATTCCATGTCGACATGACGATACCTAACAATAAAAAAAAGAGAATCAAATAAGTCTAAACCTAATAAAGTGGCTGGTGTGCATATGTGTATACTGTATATATCTAGTGTGTGGCAGGGAGTAATAATTTGTGATGATTGACTCTCAGGAAAAAGAATAAAGTAAATATAGCTTACCGCTGGTCATCAATTTCAGAGTCACTTTCGAACGTGGACCCAGGGGAGTCGTCCTCAGAGCTGGTTTCTTCTGCTGTGGTGTTTTTAAAGGCTGCCACCATGTTACTCCCATTGTCCGTTATTACCGTCAGGATCTTCTCCACTGGTATGGTCCACTCTTGCATGCATTTGTCCACACATGCCTTAATAGCCTGTGCAGTGTGTGGGTGACCTACTTGTTGAAGGGCCAACAATATGTGTGCAGGTTTACTTTTTTCAACACAAAAGTAGCATGCACTTATAGCAAGGAATGAGGCTGTCAATCCTTTTTTTGTCCACAAGTCAAGGCCAATGGATACTTTCCGGGCAGCAGCCAGACTCTCTCTGAACTTCTGTCTTTCATGTTCATACTGTGTTTCAATTAAATTGCTAATTTTAGTTTTCTTTGGAACTGTTAGTCTCCCATCTATCATCCCCATCATTAGCACAAAGTCCTCATCCTCAATTGTTGTGAGTGGTAAACCTGTCCGTCCAATCCATCTAGCTATGGCCTGCTCCTTGGTCTGTTGTTCCTTTGATTCAGTCTTGTACTTTGAAGACCTTAGGAAATCTGAGATGGCCTGCTGCTGTGTTGTACTAGTAGCATCACTAGCTTTATTTCCACCTGGCCCATGGTCATCAGACATCTTCTGTATCTATGGGGATATATAAATGATATACAAAGTTGAGATATTTTTTTCTTTCTTGCCATATAACACACACACACACACACACACACACCTTTTGTCGAGTCATATATAACACCACAACATCTATTATAATAGTACACATATTTATATAAATTAATTCAGCGAGACAATTCGTTTAATTAATACTATTCAAAGTTAATTTTTCCTTTGGCTTCAATTTTATTCCAAGTTTAGCAGAATCACAATGGTTTATCTTATAGGATAACCTTAACGTTAGCGTTTATGCTTACCTTGGTGTGGATTTCTGGATGAGCCGTCTGTAAATGTCGCTTCAAGTTGGTGGTGTTTTTCCCAGCGATTTTTACTCCACATGGTTTACAGACGCTCTTGTTGTCCTTGTTGTCATATGTGGAGTTTGACCAGATGTCAATTCTTCTATTTCGTCCTAGACCAAGCTCTGACATTTCTGTCTATCTGTTCATGAGACGCTGCCCTCGGACCGAGTGAACAAAACTTTAGCGTGTTGCTAACGAGAAAAGTCAACTTAAATTAACCAACGCTTTGTAACCGAGTATAATGTGTAACTAAATATAATGTATAACAAACGTCATCATAACTTGAAAACCGCGGCTTTTGTTTTGAAAATGGCTTTGCCAAGATCAACCTGCCCTCAAAAGATTCGCTCTGATTGGATTTCCCCACAAAAGGGTAGTTCTTATTGGATCTCTTCTCTATTCGTCCCGCCCCAACATTTTCCTCTCGTTTTTATTCGTTGACTAAAGTGTCAGTTAAATTTCGTCATCGTCTTCGTCATCGTATCTGACTTTTTATTTAGTTTTTATTTAGTTTTCGTCTGTAAAAAATGTTCGTTGACGAATAATTTTCGTCATAGTCTTCGTCAACGAAATTAACACTGGTTATAGTCATGTAATAGGGGCTTGATGAATAAGGGAAGGATACGCAATGACACAAAAGCCCCAATCAGGTAGCAAATCTCAGCAGCCCCGCCTCCGTTTTCAGATGTCTCCGTTTTCCCCCCATCCACACTGAGACGGAGCAGCAACATTTTAGAATGAAAACAGCCACTCCTGCGTTTCCAAAAAGCTCTGTTTTCAGCGCTCGAAAACTCCGGCATAGTGTGGACGGTAGAGGTGTGAACCTACACTAGTCTCACGGTTCGGTTCGGTTACGATTATCATGCCATTGATTCGGTTCAATTCGATATTTCGGTGCATCACGGTGCATTGACGGTGCTTTCCATACACAGTTTTATATTTTCTTCACAGCAGCATTTCTTGTATTAAAATGTATGAATGTATTTATATTTATATACTATTTGTAATACAATTTTGTCATTTAATACAAACAGTCAGATATATAAACTGTACCTTTAAACAAAACGAGCATTTAGCAAATAATATAAACGAATATAAATATCTAGCTCAATTTCTGATCCTTGTCTAGTTCTCTTACACCTCTTTGATTGGTCACACCCTCAAAAAAAACAGTTGTGATTGGCTCTTGCGCGCTGCGTTCTTCACAGATGAGTGACACTGATAAACGGCAGACAGATCTCACAGCTGATGTATGATAGACACGGTGGAGAAAACTCTGCAGACACGCGCTCGTTTCTGGATGCAAAAGTAACGCTGTAAAACAGCCGAGAAGAGAAGAAAAGGCACGCCAGGAGGTCAAATGGGCCACTGAGTGTGTGTGAGAAAGAGAGAGAGAGAGAGAGAGACAGAGCGAGAGACAGAGCGCGCACGCGAGAGAGAGAAAGAGAGATAAACGGAGTAGGCTACTTTCATTCTCTCGATCTCAGTGAAATAGGGGCTATTTTTGTATTTGTCAGTGAAAGACCGATCCAGCAAACACACACAGTGAAATTGTGCACAGTTTATGAGTTTTAAGTAGTTAAAGCGCTGTAAATACTCGCGATCGCCTCCCTCGCGACAGAGCGCATATGAGGTAAATGACGTCAGTAATAACCGGTTATGATTATTACTGAACCGATAATGAACTGTCCACGTCTGCATCGCAGTGCACCGAAAAAACGATTATTTTTGACACCCCTAGTGGACGGATGGCATAACCGTAGCATAATTCATGCGTTTATAATCCAGAGCGGCCCACTACATTCAATCAAAATGCTATCTATCTATGCACGTCTAATATTTTTATCAACTCATATTTTATAAAACACAAAAGCCATATGTATGAAATAAATAAATAAATAAATAAATAAATACTAACTTTAATCTCAATTTAATTTTTGTATACTGTCCATAAAGATATTTGTTGAGTTCTAAAAAATACACTATTTATTCATTTTCTTGTCGGCTTAGTCCCTTTATTAATCTGGGGTCACCACAGCGGAATGAACCGCCAACTCATCCAGCAAGTTTTTACGCAGACGCAGCCGCAACCCATCTCTGGGAAACATCCTCAAACACTCATTCACAAACACGCTAATACACTATAGACAATTTAGCCTACCCAATTCACCTGTACCACATGTCTTTGGACTGTGGGGGAAACCAAAGCACCCAGAGGAAACCTACGCAAACACAGGGAAAACATGCAAACTCCACACAGACACACCAACTAAGTCGAGGATCGAACCTGCGACCCAGCGACCTCCTTGCTGTGAGGCGATAGCACTACCTACTGCGCCACTGCTTCGCCCATAATAATTTAATTTAATCTGATAATTTCATCATAATTATTTTAAATATATATATATATAATAATATCATAATTTCAACTTGTACTATCATAACTTTTAAAACCAACAGTATTTGCTAATATTATTTACTATTTCATGGACCTGGGCTGATGTGGACTAAAAACAAAATAACTCCTTTTAAATGATTAATAAATAATCTTACAATATTTTGTATGTGAAGCATATTGTCACCGACTCGGTCCCAGTCGTTCCCCTCGCCGGCCAGCAGAGGCCACCATCTCCAAACTTTTAGCATTACATCATCTACTTAAACTGATTGCGCACACACCTGTTATCAATCCCGCCAGCGGCCCACGCTCCCTGTTCTGCCACGGCTAACATCTCTGAGCGTTATTCCCTTGCCTGATCTCCTGTGTATTACCCCTGACTGTTTCTGACTCTGAGTTGCCTTCTGCCTGCCCCGAACCTTGCTTGTATCTGGACTCTGAACCACGCTGCCTGCCCTCGACCCACGCCTGATATCTGGACTCTGAACCATGCCGCCTGCCATTGATCCATGCCTGTTATATCACTCTGTGTCTGTCAGCCGCCAGCCATTCAACCCTTATTGCATACTGTTGATGTGAGTTCGCCCATAATGACATTACAACGTGTTTCCTCCTTGTCTTGTTACTCCGTGTCTCGATCCTAGCCTTGTTTACCCTAGTTATCCTGTTTAGCCGCCAGCCTTACGACCTATTGCCTGTACTTTGATTACGACTCTGGATTTGCCTACATATACCTGTTTGCACCCGATTTGACCACTGCTTGCTTGACGACATTGAATAAACCTGCATGTTGGATCTTACCTCAGTTGTATCTGTCACTCCCTCCCCCGATCGTTACAGAAGACTCGGCCCATGATGGATCCAGCGGGAATTCAAGTCATGCGCCTGCGTCAAGGAGCTAGGTCCATTGAGGAGTACGTGGAGAAATTCATTGAACTGACACATCTGACATCTATGAGTGACTTGTGTTTAATGATTTTCTTTCGCGGAGGACTTGCTGAACCACTGAACTCCTACATGCCACTGCACAACCCCCACTGGACGCTAAAATATTATATTGATCTGGCACTACAAATGAGTGGATCCTCCTTCACCATAGCCGAGTTGGACGAAAATCCTAAATGTGTTTTTGGGGGAGGGCACTGAGGAGCAAGACCCGCTGGCAACGGGGCTTGCAACTCATCCCAATCAGCCAGCTCACAAGATGGCTCCCAATCCCAAGTCTGTTCCTGTTCCTGAAAGGCCATCTCCAGAGCTGCCAGACCCTCCAGTGCTGCCAGATCCTCCAGAGCTGCCAGACCCTCCAGAGCTGCCAGACCCTCCAGAGCTGCCAGACCTGCCAGCACCGCAGCGAGAGTCGACGCCGCAGCCAGCGCCGCAGCGAGAGACGACGCCGCAGCCAGAGTCGACGCCGCAGCCAGCGCCGCAGCCAGAGTCGACGTCGTAGCCAGCTCCGCAGCCAGGGTCGACGACGCTGCCCGAATGGTCGCCGCCGCCTGAGCTTTCCGAATGTCCGCCGCCGCTTCAGCTTCCTGAACATTCACAGCTCCTTGCCCTGCCGGTCCCAGCCCCGCTCCTCGCCCTGCCGGCGCTATTCAGACAGCTCGCCCGGCCGGCGTCATCTAGACTCCTCGCCATGCCGATCCCAGTCCGGCTCCTCGCCCTGCCGGCTCCCTACAAGCCTCCAGCCCTGCCGGCTCCTCGCAGTACTCCAGGCCCTCTGTTGTCACACGATCCAGGGCCACTGCAGCTCCACTCTCCGGGTCCTTATCTTGTTTCTCCGTGTCTCGATCCTAGCCTTGTTTACCCTAGTTATCCTGTTTAGCCACCAGCCTTACAACCTATTGCCTGTACTTTTATTACGACTCTATATTTGTCTACATATACCTGTACATTAAACAAACCTGCATGTTGGATCTTACCTCAGTTGTATCTGTCACTCCCTCCCCCGGTCGTTACACATATCATGCAAACAAAAAAACATAAATACAGTACAAAAAGTCCTCACTGTTAATGCTGCATACAGTTGAAGTCAGAATTATTAGCCCCCCTGAATTATTAGCCGACCTGTTTATTTTTCCCCCAATTTCTGTTTAACGGAGATAAATATCTCAACACATTTACAAACATCCTAGTTTTAATAAATAATTTCTAATAACTGATTTATTTTATCTTTGCTGTGATGACAGTAAATAATACTTGACTAGCTATTTACCAAGACACTAGTATTCAGCTTAAAGTGACATAGTTAAAAGCTTAACTAGGTTAATTAGGTTAACTAGGCTGCTTAGGGTAAATAGTCAAGTTATTGTATAACAATGATTTGTTCTGTAGACTTTAAAAAAAATAGCTTAAAGGGGATAATAATATTGACCCTAAAAAAATAAAAACTGCTTTTATTCTAGCCTAAATAAAACAAATAAGACTTTCCCCAGAATAAAATATATTATCAGGCATACTTTGAATAATTCCTTGCTCTGTTCAACATAATTTGTGAAATATTTTTAAAAAAATTTAAACTTCAACTGTGAGTAATGTTAAGAAATAGGATTTAACAAATTAGAATTATGCATTAGAATTATACATTGTACATTAAAAGTAACCTCAAAAACATTCTAATCCATGTCAAGTGAACAAACTAATGTGAACTAATGGGAGCTTATTGTAGAGTGCTTAAAAACACAAATGCTTCAACAACTTGTTGTATTCAAGGAAACTTACGACAAATATTTAAATAATGCTTCAATTTCAAATAAAAGAAAACTTTTTCCCTCAAACATGACATTTAGCATCTTAATAAACACTAATATATAGTGTAAAACAAAAGAATTGTTCTTTGTTATTTAATGATAGTTAATGCATTAACTAATGGGACCTTATAGTGAAGAGCTAAAATATGCTTAAACACTTTTAAAAAAGCTTAATTTCCAAATATGTGTATTTACATCATTTTTGCTCATTAGTAAATATTAATAAATTCTCAAAAAGTATTTTAAAATCTTGTCACTTTATTCTTATAAATCTTCTAACATTGCTGTTATGCATGTAAAATAGTGCTCATCAACATATTGGTATGACATCACCTGGCAGAGGCGGAGTCAGCAGCTGATTGGACAGGAGCTGCAGATATTCAGGTGTGATGTCACGCACTGCAGGGATGTGGAAGAGGTGTGTGAATGTGTGAGGACTCTTGGGGGCAAAGATGTTGAGGAGGGCCATGCGGCAGTACAGACGCGCCAGAGCACTTTCACAGCGCAGCAGCTCCCTGAAACACACACACACACACACACACACACACACACACACACACACACACACACACACACACACACACTAAGTGAAGCTTCATAAACTAAATTCGAGAGGAGCATGTGATATGATTGATCGCAGCTGGTCTCTCTGTAATCATTGGTAAGCCAATCGGATTATTCCAAACTCACTATAAATACTAAATACACTTGTCCTATTATGCAGTTTCCACAATTTTCATTGCACACTCATTGATTTTGCTCTCTGTTTTGCTGTCATTTATTGCACATCTAGAATCTTTGCTTGCGGGTTGAAATGTTTTGCTTGTGAGTTTGAAAGTTTTGAACCCATGTACACTGAGGTTAATTTTGTGTCTTTATTATTCAAACAAGCATGAAGTTTTTGACCAGAATTAGGTACAATGCAATTAAAAAATAAAAGATTTCAAATAATAAAAAAAAACATTAAAATAAAAAAATTACACTGCAAAAAATTAACTATTGCCATTCTATGCAGTTACCACAAGATTAATTAATTGTGTGCTTATTAGTTCTGCTTTTGCTTTTATTTAAATTTTTGCGGATCTAAAATCTTTACTTGAGAGTTGAAGACTGCAGCTCAGTGGGCGGGATCTTCTGAAAAACCATGTTCTGTTGGCCAATCTTGACTGCGGTCACAGGTTGGCCACGCCCATTACATTTTCTAGTGATTGGACCGGAGTCACCGGCAGTGTTGCCAACTTAGTGACTTTGTCACCAAAATATTTTATTATCATTGACATAAGTTTTTTAATTAAACCTGTTTTTATTTGAAATCTTTTCTTTTTTAATTACTACGTGATTAATTTTTCTTTACAACTAAATATTTTTGATTGAATATAAAAAAAGAAACAAATCTATTTCCATAACTAAGCCGAAGGAAAACGAATGAATAAATAATGCAATAGTAAATGATGAACAATGATTAATAAATACTCTACAAGACTATTCATCCTTGGTCGACATTACTAAATACATTAAAAAGTGGACCATTATTCTAAAGTGTTACCGGATTAACAATAATTAAAATTACATTTGATTGCCTGTTATTTGCATACTGACCTTTGGCCTCACACAGAAGCGTGCCGATGCTGTTCTGGTAGCAGACGCAAACTCTCCACTGGGACACCTGTGGGGACACGATCACATTCACTGCACATCCACCTTTTTTCTTTTTTAAATATTTCCCAAACGATGTTTAACAGATGTAGGAATTTTTCACCGTTTTTCCTATAATATTTTTTCTTCTGGAGAAAGTCTGATTAGTTTTGTTTTGGCTAGATTAAAAGCATTTTAAGGTCAATATTATTAGCTCCTCCAAGCTATATTTGTTTTTTGATTGTGAACAGACCACTGATATACAATGACTTGCCTAATTAGAACTTTAACCTAATTAACCTAGTTTAGCCTTTAAATGTCACTTTAAGCAGATTACTAGAGTCTTGAAGAATATCTAGTCTAATATTATGTGCTGTCATTATGCCACAGAGAAAAGAAATCTGTTAATAGAAATGAGTTATTAAAACTATTATGATTAGGATGTGTTGGAATAATCTTCTCTCCCTTAAACAGAAATTGCAGGAAAAATATACAGGGGTTTAATAACTCTGACTTCAGCTGTATAAAATAACAATAATAATAATAATAATAATAATAATAATAATAATAAACAGCCCTTGACAGGCTTTTGCATCTGAACTCTTCATCTGTGAACAAGATAACACAGAGATGGACTTACCTAACAGACACGCAACCTCAGGATCGGCGCCATTTTTGCTGGCGACCAGGTAAACCTCATGTGGATGCAGACGGGCAGGAGTGATGGCCAGGTGACGGCTGAGACGGTTCACAAACTGCACCAATGCAAAGTCCATCTCAAAGCTCCATTTTCTGCTGGCTTTTTGAGCATGTCGGGAATCAATGGATCTAGGCTTTTGCCTGGAAAAAGATGTATTAGACTGCCCCAAGTAAAGAAAACTGTGTATCAAATGTCCTTTGTGCCGACTGCCATTAGAATTTCATTAATAATTGAGTTTTTAATGTGGTTTATGTGATGATATTGAATGTATTTGTGTTGCCTGTTTTTCTGTGATATATGTGATGTGAGCGCTGATGTGGTGAAGCCAAAGATCATTTTAAAACCTGCAAACCTGTCAAAGTGCAGGTCATATCCACAGGCCAGGATCGCCCGCCAAACACTGCGGATGTCCTGCTTGGCTCTGTCTAGAGTAAACTTGTGGAAAACTTCCAGCGTCAAAAACTTCTCTTCTGGCACTGTTAAGAAACATCGAGATAAAAGCAGATCATTCACACATTTGATCGAGCGCCTGCTTGAAGTTTTCGTAGGATGTGCGCACACCGACCCTATTTTCAATCACTTACTTTTAGATTCTTACTAAGGAATATACAACTAAATACAAAATCATTTGCCCATTTGTGAAATAGTTTTTCAAAAACAACTCTTATACATAATTCTTTAATAATTCTATGGAGACGGCGGATAATATTTCCTTAGCTATTTCTCTAGATAGTAGTATTCAGCTTAAAAGTGACATTTAAAGGCTTAACTAGGTTAATTAGGTCAATTAGACAAGTTGTTGTATAACTTGAACTTAAAATTCTGTAGCCAATCAAACAGCTAGCTAGCCGGCAGCTCCCACATGGTCGCCCACTGAAGCTAAGCAGGGCTGTGCTTGGTCAGTACCTGGATGGGAGACCACATAGAAAAGCTAGGTTGCTGCTGGAAGTAATGTTAGTGAGAACAGTAGGGTCGTGCTTAATCTGTGGTTTGCGTGGGTCCTAACACCCCAGTAAAGTGACGGGGTCTCTATACTGCTTAGATGTTAAAATGAGGTCCTGATCCTCTGTGGTCGTTAAAAATCCCAGGAAAAAGAGAAAAAAAAATGTCCTGCGAAAAAGAGTTGGGGTTTCACCCTGACATCCTGGCCAAATTTGGCCTCCTAACCATCCCCATATTATAATTAGCTTAATCTTAATCTGTCTCCTCTCCACCAATCAGCTGATGCGCAATATGGCTGCCGTCAAGTCATCCAGATGGATGCTGCACACTGGCGGTGCATGAGGAGATTCCAGCAAAAATGTGTGTAAAGCGCTTTGAGTGTCCAGAAAAATGCTATATAAGTGAAAGGAATTAAAATATATATTTATTATAGGGGGCTAATATTATTGACCTATTTTCCAGCTAAACTAGGACAAATAAGATTTTCTCCAGAAGAAAAATATTTACCAAGAAACATCATGAAAAATGTCCTTGCTCTGTTAAACAGCACTAGAGAAATATTTCACAGGGATAATACACTTCTTCAACGGCTAATATATTAAAATATACTTAATAAGTATAGAATATAAATGTAGTAAACGGCAGTTACATGCCGTTTACAGTTAGGTATACAGTAACATGCTTTTATGACGAACTACAATGTACTTTCAAGTAATTTCCACTTAACATGTCAGAAATCAATGCATGTGCATTTGTGGGGGGTAGTAGTACCAACTTTTTGCTAGTAGTTTGGTAATACATGCTTTAGTGAACTAAATGTATGAATGTATTAAAATAACAATTAAATTTTTCATTTTCTTGTCGGCTTAGTCCCTTTATTAATCCAGGGTCGCCACAGCGGAACGAACCGCCAACTTATCCAGCAAGTTTTTACGCAGCGGATGCCCTTCCAGACACAACCCATCTCTGGGCATAAGTTTTCAGTGTTTTGAGGGATATTTAGTGACTTTTAGAGGTTACTGTAGGTCAAACTATACAAATTATGTGTCCATTTTTTTTTTTTTTTTGGGCTACATGCAGATAAAAACACTTACAGTATTTTACAAGAAATGTACTTTGTGTATACTTGAGATGGTATTGGTCCTCAAGAGCTGCTATTTTCAGACTGTTGAATGATATTTTCCTAGCATTGATTGGCACGATTATGCATTTACAACTCAATGAACCGCTCAAATCTATATTTACATTATACTTTTTTATTATTAATAATAAGGACATAGATCAGAGAAAGCATTTTCTTACTATTAACGTGCTGACCCACCTCTCATACATCTTGTTTTAAAGTCCTTCAGAGGCTTTCAAGCGTTATTGGAGGGGGTCAAACCCCCCAAACCCCCTGTAATTCACACCTTGGTTATATTCACACACTGCTGCCACACAACTGTTTAAACCACTTATAAAAGTGATTTAGCATAATAGGCCCCCTTTAAGACAGTATCACTTCAGGCCAATAAGTGGCAACAAGTCAATATCTACATCATACAATATACTTCAAATCATTTTCACTGAAACGTGCATGTTTAACCACATTTCTTAAACAAATCACATATTTTAAGCCAGCGTTTAAGGGACAGTTCACACAGAAATGAACATTTACTCATCATTCACTCACACACAAGTGGTCTCAAACCTTGAATTTCTTTCTTCTGTTGAACACAAAAGAAGATATTTTGAAGAATGTTGTAAAAAAAAAACAGCCAAACTTTATTTTGATGGTCAGTTTGTTGAATTTAAGTTACATTGCATCTACAGTACATGCCAACTAATTCTCATTAGACTGTTGGGTTGGGGTTAGGGTAAGTTGACATGCACTTGAAAAGTTTCTTATAGTCAGTTAAATGTCTGTTGAAGGAGCAGAATCAGCAGATATTAAGCAGACAGTCTACTAATACTCAAAATAAAGATGATCTAACCATCAAAATAAAGTGGTACAGAAAAAACCCACAATAGTAGGAACGAAAAATACTATGGAAGTCAACAGCTGCTTTTTTCCGACATTCTTCAGAATATCTTCCTGTACAGACATTATTAGAACCCACTGTACATTATAATTGAAATAATGATTTATAATTCTACATTTGATTGTTCTTTGATGCAGTCCTTCTTCTCAAACGGTCTATAAGTTATTGTCTAACACATTAATAGATGTGAAGAAAATCCTATTGTTTACTTCTGTGTCTGGAAGAAAGTGCTATTATGCTTCTCTTGGATGAATATAAATTACAAGGCTGAGCTTTAATGCTGAATGAGACACACACAAGACAGTTTATTCAATTCACATTTATTGCAAGTGTTTGGCCTGCTGGGGAAATCAAGTTCTTTCTGGAGCAGTGATTGGTCACTCTGGGGATGATGAGTGGAGATCGTGAGGCAGGCCTTCTCGTCTGGAAGAGAACAGAGTCAAGAAAATCAGTGTTGATGTCTAAATGAAGCTGAATTTGAGTATGAACTAACATGACCTCTGACCCACAGAGAATTCTATATATACATATGTGTGTGTGACATACAGCATGTTCCAGAAGTGTTACTAAGCTCAGTCAGATGTCATGTCACTTAAATGAGATGAAATTACCTTTTAGAATGTGTCCACACTAGCTCCTGCTCCTGAAGTAGGCATAAGCAACACAGACACCTATGCCGACTCCGACCCAGGCTGCTGGACTGCTCACCGCAGCTTTCACAGCACTTTTCACATTGTTGGAGATCCTTCTTCCCCATGAAGACTCGCTGTTCGCTCTCTCCTCTGTATCTCCAGCGGCCTCTCTCTCTGTTTCTTTACTGGTCTTTCTCTCCTCTGTATCTCCAGCGGCCTCTCTCTCTGTTTCTTCACTGGTCTTTCTCTCCTCTGTTTCTCCAGCTGTCTCTCTCTCCTCTGTTTGTCTTGGAGAGCTGCTGTCATTATCTGAGAGGACCTCAATTGTCTTGTCTGGGCCCCACATGATGATCAGAGGTTTATTCAGTAAATCAGTGAAGTTCAGAGCTTTTTGTGCTCGCATTGCATCACGTCGATGATGGAAAGTCACAAAGGCATAAGCAGGAGAGATGATGTTGTTTCTGCACACTTGCACAGTCGAGATGGACCCCAATGCACCAAACTTTTCAATAAGCTGTTGTTCGGTGACCATTGGGTGCAGATTGCTCACGAGCAGTGTCTTCCGCTCAATAAAGCGGCTCGTGGGGACCACAGGATCTGGTTGCTGGTCCCGTCCTGAATGCTCAAAAGTCACATAAATGTGTCTGCAATTAGTGTCTTCATCAAAAGAAAAATCCAAAGAGTGGATTTGGCTGAACTGTTTCATTGACTCAATCAGTTCTTGTTCGTCCACATCTGGGTCCAAATTCAGAACAACCGATGACCACTCGTGATGAGGGTTGTCTGAAGACTGATTATAGTGAGTATCCATAGCGAACGAGTCCTTCACAATCACAGATTTGTCAATTCGTATAGTAACTGTGTGATTTACCAAGTCACCGTCCTGAATGCTGGCAAACTGAGATGCGCTGTTTTAACATAGAACTACTTTAGAACACATTCTATGACTGTCGTTGCTAAGCAGCCATCAGCTGGGAGCGCGTGTGTGCGCACACAAACAGGATTCTAAATTGTTTATAAATGAATCTTAATCTGTTGACTATTAGATAAACTATTTATTACTATTGTTTTATCCTACAGATGATTGTTAATGTGTTGTTAATTATTATTTATTAGAAAAACCACCACTACTATGTCAATTGTTTTTATATGTCCTATTTAATGTAAACATCACAAATGCTTTGGAGATACATATGGAACATTTGTCAAGCCAATAAAATAATCTGAAAACATTGACTTTCTCTGTGTGTGTGTTGGTATTTTTAAAGGTTTAACATATACATCTATTGAAAAATAACCAGTTTCTGTTGGTTTACAGAAGCTTTTAGCAGAAACCTTTGTCTCCTCAGCTGCTTCAGTTTATTTAATGAAGGATTGAGTGCGGAACAGTTTCTTATCTGAAGATATTCGGTCACAGAACTAAACCTACCTGCAAGAGTGATTTATATTTGACTGAATAGAGTTGATAAAATAATAATATTCACGGGTGTAAAATTCCTAAATTCACCTCTCACACCATATCCCTTATTAAGCGTCTGTGTATACTTAGAAATAAAGTATGTATGTATGTATGTATGTATGTATGTATGTATGTATGTATGTATGTATGTATGTATGTGTATACAGTTGATGTCAGAATTATTAATCCCCCTATTTATTGTTATAAATTTATTGTTAAATTTATTTTATCTTTGCCTTGATGACAGTAAATAATATTTGACTAGATATTCTTCAAGACACTTCTATACAGCTTAAAGTGACATTTAAAGGCTTAACTAGGTTAATTAGGTTAACTAGGCAGGTTAGGGTAATTAGGCAAGTTATTGTATAACGATGGTTTGTTCTGTAGACTATAAAAAAAAAATAAAGCTTAAAGGGACTAATAATATTGACCTTAAAATGGTGATTTAAAAAAAGCTGCTTTTATTCTAGCTAAAATAAAACAAATAAGACTTTCTCCAGAAGAAAAAATATTATCAGACATACTGTGAAAAAGTCCTTGCTTTGTTAAACATCGTTTGGGAAATACTTTTAAAAAAGGGGAAAAAATGACTTCAACTGTATGTATGTATAAATAAATAAATAAATATATGTATAAGATTGCAGCTTTAAATATTTAATCGGTCACACTTAGCAATAAGATTTCATTAGCCTCTTAAACCCCAGTGCTATTTTGGGATTTCCACCTGGATTTTGCCTACCCAAATTTAAAAGCTTCCAAAATCCACACGCAGAGGTGTAAATGCAAAAATTTAGTATCATTTTAAAGAAAACCCTTTGAATTTTCATAAAGCACTATAGAAAGTGTTTAAAATAACTGTTATCTGTGTTACACTGGAGCGTTTTAAAGCCGTGATTCATCAGCGGATTGCTCATATGTCAGCTTATAGTCAAATCAGCTGATGGATGTGACTTTAAACACAGTGTCCTTGTATTTGTGGTTACACTCAGTAAACAGCGGTGAGTTCGGTAAACTGATGACCTTCACGGCCAATTGCAGTCATTTCTGTTGAGCATGTGAACACAATGGCAAATCAGCGCTGTTTAAGAAAGCGCTCAATGGCGCTCAAATGTTAGCGTGAAATGGAGGTTTTTAAACAGAATCACAGGCTCGTTCTGAAAACATAGTCCCGTGGACGTTTCTGGAGACCGCGAATTATGTAGCCGGAGGTACGTATGGTATGGCTGCATTAAATTTTTTTTAAACGAACGCTAACTGTGGAGGGCTTTCCCACCGCAACCAGTTTGTCCAGTTACCTCATCGTGTACGTCAACGGACTTGAGACGCCAGAGAGGAGTTGACCAGGATGACAATGATGACGAGATTCGAGTCCAGGGAAAAGCGGTTCCAGAAATCAGGTAAAACAAAAACAGAATCAAAAAATAAAATGAATGAGTGAATAACAGGGTGAGAATGTGGTAAAATCCAAAAACATGGTAAAAATCAGACGAGGGCTTTTCTTTTTCTGGATGGCTTTTGAAAATCATTGGTTGAGTTTAGGGAAGTAAGTGAGTGGGCGGTTCAATCGATAAAATTGGTTGGATTTAGGGAAGGAGGAGGGTGGGTCAGTCAATTGGTCAGCTGGCCAGTTAGAAATTCAGTCAGACAGACAGTCAGGTCGGTCAACAGTGGCCTCCGGTGGGTTTACGCGTGGACAGCGGGCGCAAACGGCACTAGCGGGAGAACTTACTCAAGAAATTTGAGATCTGAAAAACACAGCAGCCTCTTGTGGATTGGCGAAAACAAAAAGTGCAAAAATAGTTACCTCCTGGGACGTATTTCGCGGTCTCCAGAAATGTCCATGGGACTACGCTTTCAGAATGAGCCTGTTTTTTTTTTTAAACTTCAGTATCGATTGGTACCGAATTCCAGTATCGTGACATTATAAAAGCACATTTAAGACCCTTAAAGACTTAATGAAAAGGAAAACAAACTGTAGAAATAAACAAAACAGCAATGTGTTAAATGCAACATATAATGTCTAGGGCAGGGGTGTCCAGGATTGATTTTATACACCTCTGGCTGTATAAACTCAAGAGCAAATTAAATGAGCATATCTCACCTGGCAGCTCCACGACCTGAATGAGCACAGAAGTGGGCACCGTGTCCAGCTCATCCTCAGAGCGCTCTATGGTTTCTCCTACACTGTAGGTTAGCAGCTGTTCAGTGAAGACCATCGCCAATGGAAACTCAAGAAGCAACGAGTGCAACACCAGCACTGCTCCAGGAGGGGGAGACACGCCTGTGGACAGAAATATAGATATGAGCTAAAGTCAGCAGGAATGTCTTAATGAATCTGATTGTTCACTTAGAGAATGCAAAATAATGCAGATCACTGTTAAAATAAAATAAATGTACAGTGGGGAAAATAAGTATTAAACACGTCATGTTTTTCTAAAGGAGCTGCTGACATGGAATTGAACCAGATTTTGGTAAAAACCCAAACAATACAAACATAAACATAAAACAAAACCAAAAAATATGAGTTTTGTGTAATAACAATGAAACAACACAAGGAGAAAGTACTGAACTGTTGAAACGTATTTAATACTTTATATAAAAGGATTTTTTGGTGATCGCAGCTTAAAGACGCCTCTCACATGGAGACTGAAGCCTCATGCGTTGCTCAGGTGTGAGTTTCTCATAAACTTCAACAGCGTGTCAAAATCTTGATTCTTCTGTGGGTCTCGTCTATTAAATCGGTCCTTTCTTGATGCGTGGAGTTTGCAATGCAGGTCGGAGGATACACGATCGCAACTTTAAACTGAGTTTTACTTTGCTGAAAAAATAAGAAAACATGGGCTCGGACGAGCCATGCAGTTACAGAAATGCGGTTTGCCGCCTCAAATGGGGGCGCACCTTTTGAAAAGCTTCTTTTGGATCTTCTGCGCAGAGTTGCGCGCGCAGCTGGGTTTTAAACTGTGGTGGCATGTCAACTACTGACTGACCAATGGTCTCCTGGCAAAGTTTGAGCGGGAGATTTTTCTTTGTCTCTGGACCGCTAATATGCAAAATAGGGGTCCGCCCGAAAGCATGCGAAGAGACATTAACTCAGAGCATTAAATCATTTAAGCTGTATAGATTATGATCATGCGCTACGCATCATGTGTTGTAAAATGGCAGGAGAAACCTAACGGTATTAAACACGACAGTTTTAAGAAATACATCAACATGAATCACACATTCTTAGCTGGTATAGTGTCTTAAAAAGGGCACGAGAGAGAGATTCACATGATAGAAAAGTCCGAAATGAAATACAAAGTTTACAAACACATAACATTTACTTTTGGGCTGAATCAGGAGTTCTGAGTCCATTTCAGCGTCGGGAGCCTTGTGTGTGTGTCCCTGTGTGTCTGTGTGTCTTAGGAGGAAGGGGGGACAGGAATGTCTTTTGAAGTTTAGGCAACCATCTCTTTTGTGTTTTCGCAGTCTCCCGAGTTCCCAAGAACCTGTTTTAAGACAATGATGATGATGATGATGTGTGTGTGTGTGTGTGGTACCTGCTGGAAGCAGCACATCTCTCCAGCAGACTGTCCTCCCCCTGATGCAGAGCTCTGCTGATGGCCATGCTCAGCCACTCGCGGACACTCTGAGCGTTTCCCTGATAGAAGAGCTCAGTCGGAGAGCAGCTCTAACCCTGCAGCTCATGCAAGACCGACTTGAGCCAACAGCACAGAGTTACAGCTGATCCGGCCATCTATACACACACACAGGAGAGTCAGCAGACAGATTATGAGAAATGACTTCATCTTTCATTCATTCATTCATTTTTCATTCGGCTTAGGCCCCATTTACACTAATGCATTTTAGTTTGAAAACGGCGTTTTAGATCAGAAACGATCCACGTCCACACTAGCGTTTCACCTAGCGTTTTTGAACATATCTCCGTCCGTATAGCACGTGACCCATTTCTGTGTCCATGTTGTTGTTTACAGTGAAGGCTGGTCTGTTGTCTTCTGGTAGCGTTTAAGCCATGTGTTATAGTCATGTGATTGGGGCTTTGTGAATAAGGGAAGGATACGCAATGACACAAAAGCCCCAATCAAGTAGCGAATCTCAGCAGCCCTGCCTCGGTTTTCAGATGTCTGCGTTTTTCCCCCATCCACACTGAGACGGAGCAGCAGCATTTTAGAATGAAAACAGCCACTCCAGCATTTCCAAAATGCTCCGTTTTCAGGGCTCAAAAACCCTGGCATCGTGTGGACGGATGGCGTAACCGTAGCAAAACTTATGCGTTTTCAAACTAAAACGCATTAGTGTAAACTGGGCTTTAGTCTCTTTATTCATCAGGGGTCACCACAGCCGAATAAACAACTAACTATTCCAGCATATGTTTTACGCAGTGGATGCCCTTTCAGCCGCAACCCAGTACTGTGAAACACCCATCACATGCACACTCATACACTACAGCCAATTTAGTTAATCGATTCCCCTATAGCGCATGTGTTTGGACTGTGAGGGAAACCGGAGCACGCAGAGAAAACCCACGCCAACACGGGGAGAACATGCAAACTCCACACAGAAACGCCAGCTGAGCCGAGGCTTGAACCAGCGACCCAGCGACCTTCTTGCTGTGAGGCGACAGCACTACCTACTGCGTCACTGTTTCGCCAAAATAAAAACTGTCGAGGATAAAAACACAATAAGCCCTGGACTTGTTTCCATTGCATTCCTCACAGTTAAATAAAACAAAGTATGGCTTCAAAATACAGATGATACATAAAACAAACAGGACCTCCACATTTTAAAACAGGAACAAAATAATTCACAAATACAATTATTCCTTTATTCATTCCTTATTCTTTTCGGCTTAGTCCCTCTATTAATCAGGGAATGTGGAATGAACCATCAACTTATCCAGCATATGTTTTATGCCGTGTATGGCCTTCCAGCTGCAACCCTATTCACAATCAAGTAACATATCAAATAAAACATCCTCATCTACTATGCAAACTAATTATCCTCAACAAACAATCATCTTTTGATAGGTTTTTTTAAACCTTCTTAAGTCTTTTATTTCCTTGACAGATTTCGGTAATTTGCTCCACATGATTGCACTTGTATATAAAAACGTATTTTTCCCCACTAGACTTCTAAATTTAAATAAACAAATATTAAAATCCAAACCCCTGTTGCCTCACCATTTGAAAATAGTTCACCAAATAACTAGGAACCACACATTATTAAACATTTTACGTACCATTCCCAGTTTTAAAAAACATTAGTGCTGTCAATCGATAAAAAAAAATTAACTAATTAAACACACTTTTTGTTTTGCAATTAATCACAATTAATCACATTTACTGTAACTTGTCATTTTGGCTATTTAAATGTAAATTTTATGTAAACGCAAGACAAAAACTATTTAAATTCAAAATATAATTATTTATTAGAATTTTTGTTTAACTTGTAACACAGATTTCTTCATGTAAACAACATACCCACAATAAACCATCAAGATCCTGCTGGACAGCCATATTTATAACAGAAATAAAAACATAGGCCTGTTAGTGCCATGTGAATTTCAAAACAATCAATGCCAATAAAGAAAAAATTGATTTCCATGTTGGATTCTAAGTGGACTACAAAATAATGCCAAAATACAGGAATTGCAAATATGGAATTTGGAAAATTATAATAATAATAAAGTATTGAATATAAACAATTGCACTCATTGAAAAGTTGGATTGCTGTGAGTTGAGAACATTAATTATAAAGTAGAAACAATTTAGCTTAGTCCTCCTTTACATTTAGCCAGTTGCTAAGACAGTCCAGTCTGTTGACATTATTGGGGGACAATGTGGACCTTTTCTTTTGAATGATGTGAGCTGAGAGTGAGAACAGTCTCTCACAAGCAGGATCACTGAATCAGCATATAAATTTCGGTGCCTAAGTTTGTTGCCACTGGTGCTGCGACAAGGACGTAAGAAGCGTCAAGCGGTACATCAAAGGCATGCACTGGTACGCGTTGTGTCACACCAAAGACTATTTCTTACAGGGACTTTGGTCATACCATCTCTAAACATTTAAACAACTTTGAGAGATACGGACCGCGGCATCGGATGTTTAGGCATTTGTTCTTGTTTCTAGGAAATGCACGCACGTGCACACACACACACACACACACAGAACACGCGCAGGACAGTGACTCCCTGACTCCCTTCAGATTCACATGATCTCGTTCATCAAATTTGCTTAAACTAAGCGTTCAAAAGCATGGCTATATTTCACAAGGATTCTGACAGAGCAACGTGAAGTAGACGATTTACAAAAGTTGCGTTTAAGGGGGAAACAAGACAGAATGCACTGTCTTTGACAGCTCGCGACATCATCTGAGTTTTACTGAGTACATTTACATGGACACCATTGTAAATGTAGTAATGAGATGCCAATGTCTTCATAAAACACAGCAAATTTCATGACAGCATTGACCTAAAATGAATGGTATGGCCTGTTGCCAATTAAAGAAAAGCAAAAACTGTGCCGACTAGTAAAAATTGCCAGTTTAATTTTAGGTAAAGCACAAAAACAACCAAATGAAATGTACTTAATGAGAATTAAACAGAAAGCACACGTCATTCTTGAAGATTGTTGCCATCCCTTAAATATAGCATCTAGGCTTTTGCCATTAAAAAGGCGTCTTAGACTGTCACAGTCAAATAAATGTTCAAATGGATCCAAGTGCGAGTGAAAAATAATATTTATTTGACACAGTCAAAATAAATGCAAGGAGTGAGTGCGGTGCTAGGACTAGGAGAAAACAGGGCAGGGATCTGTCACATCCGTCAGTGACCATCTGAGGGGCGCTGTAGTGCATCAGGACTCAGAAAGCACTACAGCGTCCCAGAAAGACTACAATTTCATACATACCACGCGCATACACCGGAACACATACACTGACCTGTCATCTCATCTGTTCTGTGTTACTGTTGATTATCTGGACTATATATTTCATCATTCCACCGTTGTTTGTTATCGCGTCGTTTGTCTTCCTTGTCCCAGTATCCAGTAAGTCTAGTATTCCGAGTTTGTTATTCTGATCTTGTTCTTGTATTTTGCCTTAGTCTAGTTTGTGTGTTATGTGTCTCGTCTGTTTTCTAGTTAAGTTTAGTTGTTTGAGTTTGTTATTCCTGAGCCTCGTCTCTGATTTAGTTTCTGGTTTTGTCGTTTATTTGTTACTTTGTATTCTGATCACCTTGTTTGTTGCACTGTAAATAAATAATCTGCACTTGGATCCGCACCTTTTTGTTTCTCTGTTTTGATCACGCTAAATCGTGACAGGATCAGGCAGGAAAACAGGGTCCAGTGGTAACTCCTCACGGTCCTGAGCACAGACAAATGCACACATAAGCACACGTAACGAACTGACAAGGAAACACAGAAAATGTCGCCCATATATAGGCACGATAATGAGCCTCAGCTGGCGAGCTAATCAAACTAGCTGAGTGCCGTCATAACACATGACCAGAACAAATACACGTGGACAACAAAAACAAAACAAACCCACATGATCAAACAGACACTCCGGAAGAGCGCACAAACCTGCAACCATGATATAGATCCAAGTAAAGAAAACTGTGTATCAAATGTCCTTTGTGCCAACTGCTATTAGAATTTCATTAATAATTGAGTTTTTAATGTGGTTTATGTGATGATATTGAATGTATTTGTGTTGCCTGTTTTTCTGTGATATATGAGATGTGAGCGCTGATGTGGTGAAGCCAAAGATCATTTTAAAACCTGCAAACCTGTCAAAGTGCAGGTCATATCCACAGGCCAGGATCGCCCGCCAAACACTGCGGATGTCCTGCTTGGCTCTGTCTAGAGTAAACTTGTGGAAACCTTCCAGCGTCAAAAACTTCTCTTCTGGCACTGCTGAGAAACATCGAGATAAAAGCAGATCATTCACACATTTGATCGAGCACCTGCTTGAAGTTTTCGTAGGATGTGCGCACATCGACCCTATTTTCAATCACTTACTTTTAGACTCTTACTAAGGAATATACAACTAAATACAAAATCATTTGCCTATCTGTGAAATCATTTTTCAAAAACAACTCTTATACATAATTCTTTAATAATTCTATGGAGACGGTGGATAACATTTTCTTAGCTATTTCTCTAGATAGTAGTATTCAGCTTAAAGCAACATTTAAAGGCTTAACTAGGTTAATTAGGTCAATTAGACAAGTCATTGTATAACGAACTTAAAATTCTGTAGCCAATCAAAAAGCTAACTAGCTGACAGCTCTCACATTGTCGCCCACTGAAGCTAAGCAGGGCTGTGCTCGGTCAATACCTGGATGGGAGACCACATAGAAAAGCTAGGTTGCTGCTGGAAGTAGTGTTAGTGAGAACACTAGGGGGTGCTTAACCTGTGGTCTGCTTGGGTCCTAACGCCCCAGTATAGAGACGGGGTCTCTATACTGTTCAGATGTTAAAATGAGGTCCTGATCCTCTGTGGTCGTTAAAAATCCCAGGGGATTTAAAAATGTTTGGGTTTCACCCTGACATCCTGGCCAAATTTGGCCTCCTAACCATCCCCATATTTTAATTGGCTTAATCTTAATATTAATCTGTCTCCTCTCCACCAATCAGCTGATGCGCAATATGGCTGCCGTAAAATGCTATATAAATGAAAGGAATTAAAATATATATTTATTATAGGGGGGCTAATATTATTGACCTATTTCCCAGTTAAACTAAGACAAATAAGATTTTATCAAGAGTGTTTTAAGCTATTTCCTAATCACTCATATATTGCCTGATTACAGTGGTATACAGTAACATGCTTTTATGACGAACTACCATATACTGTCAAGTCATTTCCACTTAACATGTCGGAAATCAATGCATGTGCATCTGTGGGGGGTAGTAGTACCAAATTTTTTGGTAGTAGTTTGGTAATACATGCTTCAGTAAACTAAATGTAAGAATGTATTTAAATAAAATCTAATTTATTAATAAAATGCATACGTTTTCAGTGTTTTGAGGGATATTTAGTGACTTTTAGAGGTTACTGTAGGTCAAACTATACAAATTATGTGTCCATTTTTTTTTTTTTTTTTTTTTTGGGCTACATGCAGATATAGAAACCTACAGTATTTTACAAGAAATGTGTGTTGTGAAAACTTTAGATGGTATTGGTCCTCAAGAGCTGCTATTTTCAGACTGTTGAATGATATTTTCCTAGCATTGATTGGCACAATTATGCATTTACAATGCTATAAACCGCTCAAATCTATATTTACATTATACTTTTTTATTATTAATATTAAGGACATAGATCAGAGAAAGCATTTTCTTACTATTAACGTGCTGACCCACCTCTCATACGTCTTGTTTTAAAGTCCTTCAGAGGGGATCAAGCAATATTGGAGGGGGTCAAACCCTCCCCAAACCCCCTGTAATTTGCACATTGGTTATATTAACACACTAATGTCACACAACTGTTTAAACCACTTGTAAAAGTAATTTAGCATAATAGGCCCCCTTTTAAGACCTTATCACTTCAGGCCAATAGGTGGCAACAAGTCAATATCTACATCATACAATATACTTCAAATCATTTTTACTGAAACATGCATGTTTAACCACATTTCTTAAACAAATCACATATTTTAAGCCAGCGTTTAAGGGACAGTTCACACAGAAATGAACATTTACTCATCATTCACTCACACACAAGTGGTCTCAAACCTTGAATTTCTTTCTTCTGTTGAACACAAAAGAAGATATTTTGAAGAATGTTGTAAAAGAAAAACAGCCAAACTTTATTTTGATGGTCAGTTTGTTGAATTTAAGTTACATTGCATCTACAGTACATGCCAACTAATTTTCATTAGACTGTTGGGTTGGGGTTAGGGTAAGTTGACATGCACTTGAAAAGTTTCTTATAGTCAGTTAAATGTCTGTTGAAGGAGCAGAATCAGCAGATATTAAGCAGACAGTCTACTAATACTCAAAATAAAGATGATCTAACCAACAAAATAAAGTGGTACAGAAAAAACCCACAATAGTAGGAACGAAAAATACTATGGAAGTCAACAGCTGCTTTTTTCCAACGTTCTTCCGAATATCTTCCTGTACAGACATTATTAGAACCCACTGTACATTATAATTGAAATAATGATTTGCAATTCTACATTTGATTGTTCTTTGATGCAGTCCTTCTCATACGGTCTGTAAATTATTGTCTAACACATCAATAGATGTGAAAAAAATCCTATCGTTTACTTCTGTGTCTGAAACAAAGTGCTGTTATGCTTCTCTTGGATGAATATAAATTACAAGGCTGAGCTTTAATGCTGAATGAGACACACACAAGACAGTTTATTCAATTCACATTTATTGCAAGTGTTTGGCCTGCTGGGGAAATCAAGGTCTTTCTGGAGCAGTGATTGGTCACTCTGGGGATGATGAGTGGAGATCGTGAGGCAGGCTTTCTCGTCTGGAAGAGAACAGAGTCAAGAAAATCAGTGTCGATGTCTAAATGAAGCTGAATTTGAGTATGAATTAACATGACCTCTGACCCACAGAGAATTCTATATATACATATGTGTGTGTGACAAACAGCATGTTCCAGAAGTGTTACTAAGCTCAGTCAGATGTCATGTCACTTAAATGAGATGAAATTACCTTTTAGAATGTGTCCACACTAGCTCCTGCTCCTGAAGTAGGCATAAGCAGCACAAACACCTATGCCGACTCCGACCCAGGCTGCTGGACTGCTCACCGCAGCTTTCATAGCACTTTTCACATTGTTGGAGATCCTTCTTCCCCATGAAGACTCGCTGTTCGCTCTCTCCTTTGTTTCACCAGCAGCCTCTCTCTCTGTTTCTCCACTGGTCTTTCTCTCCTCTGTATCTCCAGCGGCCTCTCTCTCTATTTCTTCACTGGTCTTTCTCTCCTCTGTTTCTCCAGCTGTCTCTCTCTCCTCTGTTTGTCTTGGAGAGCTGCTGTCATTATATGAGAGCACCTCAATTGTCTTGTCTGGGCCCCACATGATGATCAGAGGTTTATTCAGTAAATCAGTGAAGTTCAGAGCTTTTTGTGCTCGCACTGCATCACGTCGATGATGGAAAGTCACAAAGGCATAAGCAGGAGAGATGATGTTGTTTCTGCACACTTGCACAGTCGAGATGGACCCCAATGCACCAAACTTTTCAATAAGCTGTTGTTCGGTGACCATTGGGTGCAGATTGCTCACGAGCAGTGTCTTCAGCTCAATAAAGCGGCTCGTGGGGACCACAGGATCTGGTTGCTGGTCCCGTCCTGAATGCTCAAAAGTCACATAAATGTGTCTGCAATTAGTGTCTTCATCAAAAGAAAAATCCAAAGAGTGGATTTGGCTGAACTGTTTCATTGACTCAATCAGTTCTTGTTCGTCCACATCTGGGTCCAAAGTCAGAACAACCGATGACCACTCGTGATGAGGGTTGTCTGAAGACTGATTATAGTGAGTATCCATAGCGAACGAGTTCTTCACAATCACAGATTTGTCAATTCGTACAGTAACTGTGTGATTTACCAAGTCACCGTCCTGAATGCTGGCAAACTGAGATGAGCTGTTTTAACATAGAACTACTATAGAACACATTCTATGATTGTCGTTGCTTAGCAACCATCAGCTGGGAGCGCGTGTGTGCGCACACAAACAGGATTCTAAATTGTTTATAAATGAATCTTAATCTGTTGACTATTAGATAAACTATTTATTATTATTGTTTTATCCTACAGATGATTGTTAATGTGCTGTTAATTATTATTTATTAGAAAAACCACCACTACTATGTCAATTGTTTTTATATGTCCTATTTAATGTAAACATCACAAATGCTTTGGAGATACATATGGAACATTTGTCAAGCCAATAAAATAATCTGAAAACATTGACTTTCTCTGTGTGTGTGTTGGTATTTTTAAAGTTTTAACATATACATCTATTGAAAAATAACCAGTTTCTGTTGGTTTACAGAAGCTTTTAGCAGAAACCTTTGTCTCCTCAGCTGCTTCAGTTTATTTAATGAAGGATTGAGTGCGGAACAGTTTCTTATCTGAAGATATTCGGTCACAGAACTAAACCTACCTGCAAGAGTGATTTATATTTGACTGAATAGAGTTGATAAAATAATAATATTCACGGGTGTAAAATTCCTAAATTCACCTCTCACACCATATCCCTTATTAATCTTCTGTATATACTTAGAAATAATGTATGTATGTATGTGTATACAGTTGATGTCAGAATTATTAATCCCCCTGTTTATTGTTTTTCCCAATTTCTGTTTATTGGAGAGAAAATTATTTCAACACATTTCTAATCATAACAGATTTAATAACTCATTTCTAATAACTGATTTATTTTATCTTTGCCATGATGACAGTAAATAATATTTGACTAGATATTCTTCAAGACACTTCTATACAGCTTAAAGTGACATTTAAAGGCTTAACTAGGTTAATTAGGTTAATTAGGCAGGTTAGGGTAATTAGGCAAGTTATTGTATAACGATGGTTTGTTCTGTAGACTATAAAAAAAATAAAGCTTAAAGGGACTAATAATATTGACCTTAAAATGGTGATTTAAAAAAAGCTGCTTTTATTCTAGCTAAAATAAAACAAATAAGACTTTCTCCAGAAGAAAAAATATTATCAGGCATACTGTGAAAATGTCCTTGCTCTGTTAAACATCGTTTGGGAAATACTTAAAAAAAATTTATAAATAAATCAAAGGGGGGCTATATATACAGCTGAAGTATAAGCATAAGCAAAATAATTTATTTATTTATTTATATTTATATAATTATTAATTATTATTATAATTAACTTAAATACATTTACATATCTATACATAATAATTTTTATTATGTACTTAATTATTATTTGATGAATTTAGGCTCGAAATAAACTTAATCACCTGCAAAACCACAGTTCAACCTTTAGATGTCAGTAGTTATGTGCCCAGTTATGTGTGACAACATTCATGTCTAATTTTTAGTCATATTTACGTTTTTATTAGCCTTTGCAGTGGAGTGTATATTTAGATATTGAGAAACTTCCTGAAAATTATTATTGGACACATACAGTTGAAGTCAGAATCATAAGCCCTCTTTTATTTATTGTTTTCTTTTTTAAATATTTCCTAAATGATGTTTAACAGAGCAAGGAAATTTTCACAGTATGTCTGATAATATTTGTTCTTCTGAAGAAAGTCGTATTTGTTTTTATTTTGGCTAGAATAAAAGCTTTTTTTTAGTTATTTCAGTTTTTTTATTGGTCTTTTGCATGACAATAAAAATTAAATATTGAGAGGTAAACAGTAATGTATTGTCCATTATTAATCCCACCCCCTAACCTCTCGTTCATTAACTCAACAAATTAATTAATACATAAATACCAAAAAAAGAAAATTAAATACATTAGAACATGACATCAGAGTAACTGGATACAGATGGGATAAATAATAATAATTAAAATAATAATAATGCATTTAAATAAATACAAAAAATGATAATAATAAAATTAATTAAAACTTTCTGATAAAATGGTTAATGTTACAGGTTGCCAGCACCAGGTGTAATAGGCAGGCCTTTCATGTAGTCAAGAAAGGAATTACAAATCTTATAAAAGGAATCTAATGAGCCAGAGAGTGAGCAATGAGCATCTCAGCATTCCAAGTCTGATACAGTAAAAAATGTCCTGTATCCACTTGTCATGTGTAGGGGAAGAAGTGTGTTTCCATTTTAAAAGTATGGCACGTCTGGCTAGAATTGTGGTAAAGGCAAGAACCTTGCTGTCATGCACTGTCAAATCAGGTTCAAGGGATACACCAAAGAGGACTATCAAAGGATCAAGTGAAAAGCAGTTTTTAATTTTCTTAAACACCATTTTAAGGTCAATATTATTAGCACTTTTAAGCTATATATTTTTTGATAGTCTACAGAACAAACCATCGTTATACAATAACTCGCTTAATTACCCTAACCTGCCTTGTTAAATATCTAGTCACATATTATTTACTGTCATCATGGCAAAGATAAAATAAATCAGTTATTAGAAATGAGTTATTAAAACTATTATATTTAGAAATGTGTTGAAGAAATCTGCTCTCTGTTAAACAGAAATTGGGGAAAGAATAGACAGGGTGGCTAATAATTCTGACTAAACAGAAGAAAGAAACTCAAACAGGTTTTAAACAAGTGGCGGATGAGGAATTTTCAGTATTTAACTGTCTCTTTAACATCTTTTACGTTTAGATGAGCATATATGAGGTTTGTGTTTATGATTTCCACATAAAATCAGAAATCAGGAAAGTAAAATTAATGACCTTCAAGATTTTTGGCAGGAGATTTCTCAGGGTCTTTTTCATCGGGTTTGGTCTTCTCTGGAGATTTTGGCTTGAGGACGGTTGTTTTCTCACTCAGTACAGTTCTGGAGAAACAACATTTATCATATGATCTACAGTACATGATAAAATCACACATAAACTGCTATTATATACAGCATTTCATAAGAAAAGTTGCATTTTTATATGATAAGGAATGCTAGTATGAACTTAAAGGCACAATATGTATGATTTTTCATTAAAATATGAAAAACCACTCGGACAGTGTTATATATTTTGCTGTCTTATGTACATACATTATCCACACAAATTTTTTGTAGAATATTGACATTGAGATAGATTTAATGTGTGCTGTGTGTTCATGCTAATGTCATCACACACATTTCTGCTTTGGTTTTCTAGAAAACAGGGAAACAGCAGCGAGGCTTTAATATGTTGTGTGTTTTATTCAACTGCACATAGCAGCATTATAACAAAAGCCTAAAGCAGGTCGCACACCAGAAGCGCCGCGACACGGCGCGCACATGACAGTTTAAAGTATTACACACCAGACACGCACATTAGAATGATATTTAACATGAAACTAATCAGATGGCGCTCTGTGGCGCGGCTGAAAAATGAACTGCGTCCTGAGCCGTGGCCGGGCGCCGCCGACAGCCGCCGACTTGCGGCGCTGATGTGTGTATCCTGATAGAAACCTATGCTTAGAATTCTAAAATGCATGGCGCTGCGTGGCGCTTCTGGTGTGCGACCTGCTTAACATGTATTTAGTCTGATAAAAAAGGGCTGCTTCTCCATGTGATCACAAGATAAAGAACCAGAAGCGTAGGACTATGGCATAATAAAAGCTCTGCTGCTTTCCTGTGCTGAATGGTTAATACTAATAGTGTTGAATAACTTCACTCATCAACATAAGTCCTGTAGAATAATGAAGACTACAACTCCCATGATTCCACACTCAGGGTGCTTTCACACCTGTGAACAGATTCATTTGTTGCTTCATTGTTGCTCTTTGTTCTTGGTGCGGTTCACTTTCACACTGCAAAGTTACTGAACGGACCAAAAGAGCTAAAACAAGTCATGTGTGAGTAAACTCTCCTCACATTGGTCAGTTTCACGGTTTATTTTGAAGAGTCCTGCTCTGCTGTCAGGGGGGCTGGGGGTTTGGTGGTGTTTGACAGGGTGCGCGCAACGTGTATGAAGACTAAAGAGCGAGGAGGGATTCGGTGTGGAGGGTTGAGAAGGGTGCGCAACGTATTTGTGGACTGGGAGGGTCCACTGTGCGGGAGACTTCCGGGAGACTTGGGATGTCTGGAATGACCTCCCGCCCTACTCATAATTCTGTCTTTATATAGCCGAGTATATGCCTATTACATATCCACTGTGATATAGCCGGGCTCGGATCGTATCGCTTTCTTACTACAATAGATCCGCTCCAGAGTTCATTAAATCGAGTCGAGACCACCTCATTCAGGCGATCTCAGACCGATTGTTTTGGCACGGATCCAAGCGCGACTGCTGGATTCACATATGCCAAACAAACCACACTAACTGGGCAAACGAGACATGTTCTGAAACAAAAGTCTAGGTGTGAAAGCACCCGTCACACAGTCATCAGACTACACCTTTGTTTGTTGTGAATACATGCCCTCTAGTGGTAAAAACTACATACTGCACCTTTAAATATTTAATCGGTCACACTTAGCAATAAGATTTCATTAACCTCTTAAACCCCAGTGCTATTTTGGGATTTCCACATGGATTTTGCCTACCCAAATTTAAAAGCTTCCAAAATCCACACGCAGAGGTGTAAATGCAAAAATGTAGTATCATTTTAAAGAAAACCCTTTGAATTTTCATAAAGCACTATAGAAAGTGTTTAAAATAACTGTATATGTTATCTGTGTTACACTGAAGCATTTTAAAGCCGTGATTCATCAGCGGATCACTCATATGTCAGCTTATATCCAAATCAGCTGATGGATGTGACTTTAAAACAGTGTTCCTGTATATGTGGTTACACTCAGTAAATAGCAGTGAGTTCAATAAACCGACGACCTTCACGACCAATTGCAGTCATTTCTGTTGAGCATGTGAACACAAAATCAGCGCTGTTTAAGAAAGCGCTCAATGGGGCTCAAATGTTAGCGTGAAATGGAGGTTTTTAAACAGCATCACAGGCTCATTCTGAAAACATCGTCCCGGGGACGATTCTGGAGACCGCGAATTATGTAGCCGGAGGTACGTATGGTATGGCTGCATTAAATTTTTTTTAAACGAACGCTAACTGTGGAAGGCTTTCCCACCGCAACCAGTTTGTCCAGTTAGCTCGTCGTGTACATCAACGAACTTGAGACGCCAGACGAGGACAAGGACGGCGGGATTCAAATCCAGGGAGGAGCGGTTCCAGAAATCAGGTAAGACAAAAACAGAATCCAAAAAATAAAATGAATGAGTGAATAACAGGGTAAGAATGTGGTAAAATCCAAAAACATGGTAAAAATCAGACGAGGGCTTTTCTTTTTCTGGACGGCTTTTGAAAATCATTGGTTGGGTTTAGGGAAGTAAGTGGGCGGTTCAATCGATAAAATTGGTTGGGTTTAGGGAAGAAGGAGGGTGGGTCGGTCGAAAGCGGCTTCCAGTGGGTTTACGCGTGGACAGCGGGCGCAAACGGCACTAGCGGGAGAACTTACTCGAGAAATTTGAGATCTAAAAAAGCGTACACAGCGGCCTCTTGTGGATTTTCGAACACCAAAAATGCATGAATAAGTACCTCCCGGGACGTATTTTGCGGTCTCCAAAAACGTCCATGGGACTACGCTTTCAGAATGAGCCTGTTTTTAAAACTTCAGTATCGATTGGTACCGAATTCCAGTATCGTGACAACACTATAAAAGCACATTTAGGACACTTCAAGACTTAAAAAAAAAAGGAAAACAAACTGTTGAAACAAACAAAACAGCAATGTGTTGAATGCAACATATAATGTCTAGGGTTTAGCTCCAACTTGCTTCAACACACCTGCCAGGAAGTTTCTAGAATGCTAGTTAGAGCGTGATTAACTTGTTTAGGTGTATCTAATTGGGGTTGGAGCTAAACTCTGCAGGACACCGGCCATCCAGGATTGAGTTTATACACCCCTGGTTGTATAAACTCAGAGCAAATTAAAGAAGCATATCTCACCTAGCAGCTCCACGACCTGAATGAGCACAGAAGTGGGCACCGTGTCCAGCTCATCCTCAGAGCGCTCTATTGTTTCTCCTAAACTGTAGGTTAGCAGCTGTTCAGCGAAGGCCATCGCCAATGGAAACTCATGAAGCAACGAGTGCAACACCAGCACTGCTCCAGGAGGGGGAGACACGCCTGTGGACAGAAATATAGATATAAGCTAAAGTCAGCAGGAATGGTCTTAATGAATCTGATTGTTCACTTAGAGAATGCAAAATAATGCAGATCACTGTTAAAATAAAATAAATGTACAGTGGGGAAAATAAGTATTAAACACGCCATGTTTTACTATAAGAGCTGCTGACATGGAATTGAACCAGATTTTGATAAAAACCCAAACAATACAAACATAAACATAAAACAAAACCAAAAAATATGAGTTTTGTGTAATAACAATGAAACAACACAAGGAGAAAGTACTGAACTGTTGAAACGTATTTAATTCATTCATTTTCTTGTCGGCTTAGTCCCTTTATTAATCCGGGGTCGCCACAGCGAAATGAACCGCCAACTTATTCAGCAAGTTTGCATTTGGAACATGCAAACTCCATACAGAAACGCCAACTGAGCCGAGGTTCGAACCAGCGACCTTCTTGCTGTGACTGCCTCGTCCAACGTATTTAATACTTTATATAAAAGGATTTTTTGGTGATCGCAGCTTAAAGACGCCTCTCACATGGAGACTGAAGCCTCATGCGTTGCTCAAGTGTGAGTTTCTCATAGACTTCAACAGAGATTCAAAATTTTAGTGCTTCTGTGGGTCTCGTCTATTAAATCTGAGCTTTATTTTGTGTTTTCTATTGAATTCAGTTCAGATGATTGGCTGGGCCATTGTACAGCTTGGTTTTCTTTCTCTGAAAGCATTTGAGAGTCTCCTTGGCTGTGTTTTGGATCACTGTCTTGCTGAAATGTCCACCCTGGTTTCATCTTTATCCTCCTGCTAATTTAGATGTTAGACTGAAGCAGCTGATGTTCATTTACACTGAGGAAGGGCAGAAGGTTGCTAAAGAACTACTGAGAGATTTCAGCTGCTGTCTGGGCTTTCCAAGTCTTTCTACACCCCATTTCTTCATGTGTTCGATTATTTTTCCCTGCGTTATTTCATTTTATTGCACATCATTTAATGAATAAACAAACTGGTTTTATTTTCTTTGTATATATGGATTTCTTTAGTTCTTACTGACATGCAGTGAACATTTCAAGTCTCCAGCACCGTTAGAAATATGATTTCTGAGAAAAATGGTGACGTGTTCAATACTTCTTTCCCCCACTGTATGTAAGAGATTGTGACGTGCCCAATTTGTTGTGCACTTTGTCGGTGGGGATGATGATGCTAGGATACTGGTTGGCTGTGGGTGGAGAAGTGAGGCCGGTGTTGGACAGAGAGGCGTCCAGCGGGAAACACACGGCCCCCATCAGGTTCAGCTGGCCATTACGCTGCACTTTATGACTGAATCCATACACCATCACTCGAGTCCATGGAGCTTTGAACAGAGAGGAACTAAGAGAGAGAAAAAATTTAATTAGCATTATCAAATATTTGTACAGGCGGTTCATTCCGCTGTGGCGACCCCAGATTAATAAAGGGACTAAGCAGAAATGAATGAATAAATGAATATTTGAACACAAAATGTGCTTAACACTGAAACTACTGTAATGGTCATAGCGATCATTCTTACCTTTCTCATATTGAACATCAAATTCATTCCAATAACTGTGCATTCACACCGAAGGTGGTGAAAACGTCAAAGGTCGCCGTTGCAGCATATCATATCATATCAGTTACATTACCACATAAAACATGCTTTCTAGCGTGAAGATGTTGCACACTTTTTATCAAATTCAATAAACAATGGAA